GATGAAGTGCGAACTCACACTTCAGGCGTGTGATATTTTACATAAATCTTCATCAAGTGTTATGATCGATTTATCTCTGCAAGGTAACTTTCTTCTCCTACTATGCCATAGCGTGATAGCGGTTGAAAAGCATTTTCCTCCAACAACTAACGAACTTTATTAGTGTTCACGTGCATTTGAGAAGTGTACCACTAAATTTGTATGCTCCAACTCGAGTAGAATGCAATTTTGTTGCAATAATAATGACGAATTTAATTTCCATCCTTTTGCGTCAAATTTGTAGTTACTCGAGTATCCAGTATCCACCAACTGATGTGCTTTACTCGAGTTAAGTAACGTAAATAGGAGCAAATGTGTTACCCTTGCACCCTAGCTTCTCGTGCAGAAATCTGCGTAACGCTCGGCAAGTGCGCATGTACAGCAAGTGGTACGTTATTATCCGCATGTTTTGGTTAAAAAGTTCTGTCCTACGTGATGGAAAGTTTGTGACGCATCAAACAGTAATTATAAGTGAAGAGCTGTACAGCAAATCATTTTTTTACATGAGACAAACTCTTGTTTCGGTGATTCTAAGCCAGAAAGCTGGATTTACGAGAAGAGCAAATAATGCATTCGATGCGCCCGGCGTACGATTTTGCGCTGAACTTCTGAACGCTTTATGAAAATTTCAATCCGGCTTTTCGTGTGTGCGGCGCTGACTTCATTTCTCGGCATTAGCTGTCGGGGAATTACATACGCTGTGTTTTGGCTTCCGAATGGTCGGATTGCCGGGTATTCTATGGCTTCTTTGTGTTCGGTGTGCATTTCCAGTTGTACGGCAGACTGTTTTTCATTGGTGAGCCATAGTCAGGACTAGTACATTTCATTGCGATGATCGGTTTGCTGGTGGCTCTGTGTCAGCCAATAACTCAGGCGAATCATTGTTGTTTCGGTGATTCTAAGCCAAAAAGCTGGATTTTCGAGAAGTATGAGAAAACTTCAGTGTTATCCTGAATAATCAAGATAAGAGACTCGGTAGGTGGTGTCGAACAAGTCGGCCGTGGATTGCGTCAGCACGAAAATCTTCATTACAGTGACCCGAATTTGTACGATTTCAGTCAGCATCCTGATGAAAGTTGTAGTTTGAGGGAGTATATCCGCTGTTTAAGCAAAATAAACTCAATAACTTTGTGGGAAAATATGATCAATACAAACGGGAAATCTACATTGCATTCGGGCTGTTAAATGTATAAACTCAATTCTTGCAAAGAATGCTTGGTGTTGGCTGACATTTATGCAATTTTCGAAAACATACCGAAGCACCACGAAATCAATGCGAGGAAAATCTCCGGGGATCATTTCCTGCTGAAATTGTTTTTTTTTAAAAACCTTTTCCCGCTGTTCATGCTTTTTTCTGTTAGCACGATCCAATTAAAATATGGTTCGCATCTTCCCATTTGTGCCTGCTCCCGAATGTCTTGAGTCTGGATCGCATCCGAGTTTTTCAGTTCATTGTTTGGGATGAAAAAAAGTGTCGGTAAAATCACGTGACGAGATATTTTCTGCTCTGTCTTTTAATTTTATGACAACGTCATCTGTACTAAAATGGCTTGTAAACTCGCTTGCCCGATCGGAATTGAAACCTGATTCCGGGAATAAGATTCGCCGGATAAAGTGTCTCTTTTAATGAAGATGGCAACAAGAAACGACGATATTTCGAATCGCCTTTGTGTAGATTGATCGCGTAGGTCAGAGTTAATCTCTCTTGTTTTTGGGCTCGTGTTTGTAATATCGAGATGGGGCATAGTAATATTGCGAGGTATAAAGGGAAGAAAGCTTTTTCGAGGGGATTATTCCTGGGCTTTTTTTTTTTTCGCAACATGACTGCTTGGTTTCATCACCATAAAATCGTGCTAGCATTTGCTACAAAATCGGAAAAAAGAGAGAAGGCGTCGACGCAGGGAAAATGTGAAAGCATACCGACCAACGCTAAAACGATTATTTCGTGCAGCTGCATTGAAGCTGGGTGAAACCGGATTTTCGTATTACTCGCGCACCTGCGGGACATGTGCTGGAAATGCTGATCTCAAAATAAACTACGTTAGGCGAAGGAAAGAGTGATGCGCGGTTGTGGGCTGGAAAATTACTCTGAAATGGGTCAGAGTTCTTTTAGTTCTGCTAGGCGGAATTGTGTACACTCATAAAAATAACTGATTTTGTAATTTTACGACCGAGTGAGAGCGTGGTTCGTTCTTTGTATATCTGACGCAAAAAAATGCCCTCCATTTCCTATAAGTCCTTCAAAAGTAATGCATATTAAAGTTCATGTACAGTACTTTTTTTTAAAACCAACATGAACCCACCCATTTCAATAACTTCATTTCTTTGAGCGTTGAATTGAAGGTTCATCTTTCGAGTCCCCGTGTAGCCGCATTGAATTACTTGCTGAAAGGTGCTTTTTCAAATTTTACCCTGATAAGAGTGCTTCTGTTTTTTAAAAGTTCGAGCTCATTTGTGTCTCCAAATTTTATTCTCAGCGTACTGTAATTATGTTTTAGGAAATACACAGAGTTGTTTATCGGTCGCTGCGATCAGAAGCGGTCTTCTGGATAAAGATAATCTCTGTCTACAACGATTTTTTCTTCTACGAATTTTTATGAAGAAAGATTTTTTTGTCCCCTGAATCACGTTATAGATAGAGTCCATCTGTACTGTACTCAAGTTCTGTCGCAAGTGTCATCGTGTGTCAGAGGGGGACTTTTCAACCTTTTGAATCCTCATGAATGTCCTAGGAAGGTCAGAGAATTGAATTAGGCTATCGTGTTGAAAAACCCTGCCCTCCACCTTCCACTGTCCAAATATCGTATTGCGACCTTTTCGTGTACCAAGTATTGAAAGGCTCTGTAACTGATATCAGATTCATGGGTTTTCACATGTCCATTGAAACATTCAACACGAGTCAAGAAATGCTTTGATTTAATTTACTTTAGCGAAATCACGTACGCCATATCATGAAATGAAATTTCCTCGCGGACCGGCAACATTTTTCTGCACGCCAAGGTTGACGAGCTTTTAGATTATAAATTTATAATAATCAATCAAGAAACATTCGACCAAAAAGACCTTGACCACATTTTTTGGGATTGATTTATCATCATTTCCTTGCCATATTCTCCAGGCCATGGCGTCAACAGCAGTACTTTCTGAAAATGAGCTCTGGAGAATATAACTGATGCTCGCATGTGGGCACGAGGGCGAAGTCGTTTCCACGACCCGTAATTTCCGCTAATTGTTTCGCTGCTGGTCTCGCAACGACTTCGTCAAATTGTCAGCGTCCTGTTCGGAATAAGCCGGCGTCGGGCTGCGCATCCGGGTGAAAAACGACGCTTGGAACTCGATCCAGCGTTTCGGCGCTTCGCAAGAGACGGGGGAGTCCCCCCTTTTTCCGGCTATTCTCTGCTCCATGGGAAGGCTGAATGCCTCTGAAAAACCCCCTTTTCAACTTCATTTCATACCTCCTTTCAATGCTTCAGTCGGGAAGTTTAGCCGAGCTGTGAGTGCATGCCAGGCGGAAGATATGCCTATAAGATCCGTATTAGGTCTGGTCTTGATTCGTTCATGCTTCGACGCGACTGCAGCTACTTGAAATTTGTTGGTCAAATGGGAAAGGAGTGGCGCGAAAAAGTAGCTTCTTCCTGTCAGGACATCTTCGCAGCTGAAATACGAAGAAATACGGTTTCGAAAATGCCGGAAGACTCGCGCAGACCCAATATTTTTCGAAGGTTGGCGTTTCTGCGTTATCCTCTTCCGGCACATCGTGCCATTTGTTAAAGAATAGCTAATGTCTGATGTGTTGAAGTTTGGTATGAGTCCTAAGTCTCCCAACCCGACGACGGAGACAGTTTTGGGGGAACATTCCTCTCGGGGTTTCGAGGCACCATTATAGCAAACTCTTCATAACGCTCTTAGTACACTGCCATAGTCGTGCAGTTCAGCGCCAGGGAAGCACCACCGGGGGGTACCAATGCCTCGCGAGGCAACTAAAATATCAGCTTGCTTCCAGTAAAAGACTGGGGTGCTGGTCGCTTCTCACGTTCCTTTTTTCCAGTGATCACTCCTTGTACTGCAGACCGAGCAAAATAAGTTAAATTTGCATTGATTCTGCATGCATATTCTCTCGGAGAAGGATTCGAACCCCAAATATTTTACGGGAAAGCGTTTGCCGAAGTTTCAGAATTTCTAAAAGATTATCTGAACTCTCATTGACTCGATAAAGAAAAAAAAACAATTTATGCAGCTGATTTGATTTTTTTCTGTAGTACCTTCATGTATTGCTTGCTTGTTTCGGTTTTTGTTTAATTCGTCTGGCGTGATAAATGACGGGGCAGATGCAGCTCTTGCTTAATCCTGTCGCTTGTATTTTTTTGTCTCTCCCAATTCCTAAAAACGACGAATCGTAACCGACGCTTGGAAATATATTACACCTCTTATTCCCTTATGCGAAGCTTGGAGAATTCGGATAGGGAAAGTTTGCCTTAATTGCGCAACGTTCTCTTCGCGTCCTCCACTTTACTGCTGCGACCAACTTGACGTCCTGCAGTAATTAAAACTAATCGTGTCACGGCAAGCATTGCGCTGGGCGAGGATTCCCTGAAAATCCACGCACTATTCGACTTGAAAACGAATATTTTATGGAAGTTTGAGCGAAAGCAGGCTTTTTATGGCTGCGATTTCAACGAGGATTGATCGGTCGGCCGAGTGCGAGTGAAATTTTCATGAGAGATGCAAATGATCGTGTGAAAAGGTCGAGTGCAGCGGAGTGAAGAACCGGGATCTTGTGTGGTGGGAACGGAGAAAATGAAGTGTTCTGTGCCTCGCGAATGTGACTGGAGATACTTACATGTAAGAGTTCGAGAGGAAGTTATGAAACGGTTGCCTTTGTTCGAAGGTGTAAAAAATGCTGAGTGGAATCAGTGTTGACTCGCGCAGCGTCTAGTGGTCGAGACACTTCGTGGGGAACGATGGGTCGGGAAACGAGAGGAGCTCGGGTCCCGAGTACCAGCGATTTCCTTTGGCTCACGATGGCGATCTTGAGTTGCTTGTGTGTACAGTCGTCGCTATCCAGTGATCTTGTTCATTCGGTCGTGCTGAAGCCGGACGTTTTCGTGGTGCACTGGACACCGGACGAGACCCACATCACATTCGAGATCGTCGCCCGCACGCACGGGTTCGTCGGGCTCGGTTTCTCCACCAACGGCCGCATGCAGGGCGCTGACTTCATGATCGGCTGGGTCCAGGAAGGGATTCCTTTTGTCCAGGTCAGTGTCCTAAATACCCATCATCGTTCAGGCCCAAGTCCTGACTGCTTTCTTTGAACCATGTTCTGTCGCACGGCTGACTTCAAGATACCGTGTTTCCCGGATGAATGTGACGGGTCGAGTGTATTACCTCAACCCTCTCTCCCTTGGAAAAAAAATTGGTGTGATGATCGTCAGGGCGTGTCCTAATTTTAGTGACGTACAACTTTGTCTAGTTACTCCAACGTGGATATGCGACTTGCATCTAGAATTACCATCGCAGTCCCATAGATGTGTCTATACTCGAGACCGCATCAAATTAGACTTCAAGTCTGGTTTAAACAAATTTAAATTACTGCTCTGTACATCCTTCTTCATTTTAAGGCCTTTTAATTGCCCCTCGTTCTCCTCATGCCTTTAGCCAAAAACGAGTCTTACGCAGCTTCTCTAAAATAATGTGCTGTACTGTATTCGGCATCAGCTTGTAAATCCGGTTCTTGCATTTTCTGTGAAATAATAAATTTGATAAGCTGTACATCGCTTAATTCGTTGATTGTGCTGCACTGACGTTCATTCCGACCCTTTAAATACTGTATTTGAAATGTCGTAAATTTTAGTGATTTTGATGCAAGAATTTCGGCAGCACAGCTTACTTTGTGGTGCTGCCTTAAAATCGTCACGAAGATCATTACTATAATCATATTTATGCAATTTTTTATTTTTTCGAAAAAAGAGTGGTGTTCATCTTCCCATTTTTCCAGTTCACCAAAATATTCAGACGCGTTTTCTTGCTATCTCCCAAGGAATTAAATCTTCCTTACACCAAAAATGATGAGCGAAACAAACCGAGGGAATGAGGTTTCCCAAGAGCTCTTGAATGGCGACCTCATACAATACAGGACTAGGTAAAATGTTGTGCACGTATTTTTACACAATCTAGATGTTTGAGAATATATAGAGCATGGGGGAATCGACCAACAGTATGTGTGTAAGATCTGCTTATAAAAATGTTGGTTCGCTAGTTTTTGCTGTCGTTGGAAGAAAGACGATATTATTTTAAGTCAACAGCGAACTTTTAGAAACGTTTGCAATCTGGTTCAATTTTTTGAAGATGTCCACACATGTTGAGATCGTGTACGGCATATGAAATGTAGTACGCGAGATACAAAATACTGTTCTCACGAATTGACTTGAACTTCGTAAGGCTCCGAATCACGCAACGATTTCATTTGCAGTATTTTCTCTGCTGAAACAGCTTATTTTTTTCAGCGTCAGATAAATAACCCAAAATATGGAAGTGTGTTGAAGTTGTGACGAGTCAACGAATCAAATTTCCTGAATTCATCGACAATTTCGTCGTACATAACCACTTACGTTTCCGGAAATTATTCGGCTCGGAGTTGTTTACGGGATTGTGTATCAACGATCCACCACCCTGGCCCTGCACCCAAGGCAAAAAAAGGGTCACGGTGAAAATCCGTGAAAATCCGATCTATCAATGTCGCTGGCCTCAGGAAAAGGCTTTGACTGGTCGGCGCCTAATGAAACAAATGAAAAAAATGAATGCTGTGCTGAACAGGACGCTGTCTGGCAGACGCTGTCTATCGGACGCTGTCTGGCACCACAATTGAATGCACTGTAAATTCATTCATTCCTTATAGCACCAAAATTTCTCTAAATTGCATCACCTATCACTGTCACATGCCATGCTTTAATGACACCCTGTAATCTGTTCTTGGGGATTCCTGTCTTTTGACTTTTCTTTTGAAATTTCGTATGGTGGGCTAGACTTTGTTACACAGCATTTTTGCGTGATTTGATTTTGCTGCAGCCTTCCTAGCAGATTTGTGGGTGATTCCTCAACATTTATGTCACTATCACAGCATCATGAACATTTGGCGTACAGAAGATCAACCAAGTGCTCCTTGAATAAATTAGAAAAAATGTGCAGGCAGTGGTTCATCGGGAGCCATGAGATCAGGACCAAGAAGCACATGTGCACCACAGAAGTCCTGCAGCATCCTACTTGTCAATACCCCCCCCCTTCCGAATTTGTAAACATGTGAAGGCTCTCCACAATAGCATGAACTTTGTTGGTTAAAACTATTGCATTCTGCCTTTCCTTGAATCATGGAAAAAGCTCTTCAAAATAGCAACTTTGTGGAAAAACTTGCTTGACTACTTTTTGTGGAAAGTTTTAATTTTAAAAAGATTTTTTGACCATTCCATGATGTTTGGGACCATAAACCAAATATATTTAAATTGAACAACCTTTCATTTGGTTATTTTGTTACTGTAGCTCAAGCTGCTGCCAAGATATTGTATTGGGGCTTTTTTTTGTTTAAAAATACAATTTACTACTTGATGACATGGGAAATTTTTTTAGTTGCAGCCAGAGTTCTCCACAAATATAGCAGGGTGCTAACAATTTGTTGGACCAGCTAAAAATATTTTCTTTCAGGATTTTTTTCATCATAGTTTGTAATTTTCACATTTTAATGATCATTTTGCTTGGAAAAAATACAAATTTAAATGTTTTGCTCTGCTTCATTAGAAAGGGCTCATTTTAAATTTTAATTCACCTTGTTTTTCTTGTTCCTTGCAAAATAATTGGACATCTGCTCAATTCACAGTAGTATCTCTCCCTGCACATTGTGAGGATTGTCCTGATTTTTTTATAGTTTGCCATACATTCCTGACCATCCCCATGTGATGTTGGGTGAGTTTTTCATTCCAGGAAAAATAAGTTCTACAGCTCTAAATCTTGCATTACTCACTTCAAAAATCATTGACATTTTTTGAAAAATGTTAAATGGTCTTGACATTTGTAATAAGGGTCAAAGTGAGTACTGTATTCACTCAAGTACCATGTACACCTATTTCATCAAATTTGAGAGGAAAAAAGGAAGTGTGCAACATATGCATTTATAGATGAAAAATTATGCACAACTTTTTTGTGAATTTGTTCAGTAAAACTCCTTTTAACTGAAATTGTTTCACCAAGTATAACATATATTTTATTTCAATGGAAGAAAATTTAAATCAGAAAATTCATGTCTGATTTCAAAGTTTGATGAACTTATTTTTGCAATTTTATGGTTTAGATTAGAATCACTTAAAAAGAGGCACATGACATACTGGAGGATAGGTTTTTAAGAATATATCTAATAAACTGGGATGCTGTCTTAATTCATAATGCATGGTGATGGAGTGAATATGGTGATCAGTTAAGATGATTAGGTAAATCACATTTTTCCAGGAAAGAAGAACATACCATCCCTGTGGGAACAGGCAGGGAATCTGCAACTTGGTGGAAAATCAAGTGACCATCAGGGCCAAGATGTCATGGGACTTGAGTAGATTACCCTTACCCTCCTATATAGGCAGAATAAAAGCAGGAAAAAATTGAAAACTGAAAATGAACTCTACCGGGAATGGAGCGGAACATTTTTCCTTTTTTCATAGGTTTTAAACAGACATCAGTCAAATTTTGCAAGATATAAAAAAGATTATGTTTTAAACTTTTAAAATGTCATGGCGAACTTGACAAATTTTAGCCCACTGTTCTATGGGTGAAGAATTCAGGTCATACAAAAAAATTTTAAATTATCCTCAAGCAGTGAATTAAAACCATTTACCCCAAAAGATCCCTAAATTTTCCAACATCCAGGATTCCAGGGATCGATCATAGCTTATGCTGCACTCAAGTAGGACAACTTTCAAGTACACAGAGTTGTCCCAGTAAAAGAAAAACATTAGGATATACAGTAACTAAAAAGGAATTCCAATAGGACATGAAAATAATTATATGATCATGAAAAACACATTCAAGTAAGCCAAAAAATATTCTACTATTCCAAGCCAAAAAATATTCTACTATTTACAGTCTTATACCTGCCTTCCATGCAAATTTGCCAAAGAAATCACAATGTCCCCGAAAAACGAAGAACATGGACAGAAAACTGTGAAATGCTGGCTGGATCAGATAAAATCGGCAGCCGTCTTGAATGAGCGGCCTGCCCAAGAATCAAAGGAATTTTTGCGTCCCTGTCAATGGCCCCCCCTTTTTTTTAGGGGCGCGGGGTCCATAAAACCCTTGGTGGATAGAAATGCCAAATGTCGCCTCATCCAGCTGCATCAGCATTGAGGTTGTACAGTCCTGTATGTGGGTGCCAAGCAATTGAAGCTGCATCTGAGTTTTTAGAAATATACTATTTTTGATTTTTGAAATGTTAATTGATTTAAATTACAAATAAACACGCTAGCATATTGTATATGATTTTGTCTTGGTAAAAATTTGCATTGTGTTTTCTTCCATTTGATCCCGGATAGTTTGGAAATGAACGACACCTATGTATTATCAAAATAAAACAAATTGAGAATATCTTTCTCATGTCATCGTTGTCACTCTCCAATCTTGCTTTATGGGGAACAAGTTCTCCCTGCTTGGGATGTCCCGTGTTTTTTAAAGAAGCCGTGTGTGACGTTAGTCCGTGTTTGATGAATTCTGTCGAAATTTATGCAGAAATTGTTCTGTGATGAATTGGAATCGCGTTGGATGTACGTGCAGCAGTGTATTCTACTGGGAATGAAACGCAGTGTCAGGCTTTCATGACAATTTTACATGATGTATACTCATTTGAGTCGTGTCGGAGATTTTCTGTCGTCGTCAAGATAATTTTTCCTTCATTTTCTGAAATCATGCGCGTGTTCTCGATCCATTCGGTCCACGAACGATTTCGTGTGTGGTGTGCATGCTTGCAGTTTTGATGTTTAAGGTTCTACGCCGTTTCATGCGGGGAATGAAAATGAATTTTATCTAATCGAAGTGGGACCGATGTTATCGATCGGGTTATTCGTCGAAACTTGCTGAATCGATTGCGATGAATTGTCACCAAATCCTTACGGGAGCCTGTAATGCAGGCGACCGTACCTTCTCCGTGGGCAGTGTGGAAGGCGTGCCTTTCACGGTAAGATTCGTCGGTTTGGTTGAAACTATGTGGGAGTCATTTGGGAACTTTTTCCTTGTTTTTAGGCTTATGCTGGTGGATGCAACATAGTGATTCTAGCTTCCAACTTCGAACGAGTTCAGATTATCCCGGGTGTGATACATGAAAATGTTCAAATCACGTGCATTGATTGCTCTACGGATACCGGAAAAATCGCAGCAGCGTATGGAGACAAGATATGCATCTTCGAACCAGTCCCACTGATCAATCACAATCCTCGTCATGTGGGTTCATAAAATAATTTCTTTTATTCTTTAAACGTAATCGAAATTTAATTCGCACAGAGGCTTGATTACCGTTGGATGAAGACTAGCTGCATTCTGGCGGACTGTGCAGTCAAAAATTTAGCCTGGAATATGGAGGGTACTCGTTTGATTACCGGGGGAGACGTGTTGCAGATATGGGAACTCATTGTGCAGCAAGGAGAACATGAGAACCATTTCTCAAACAGTCCACCTCCGAAGCCGGTTCTCGAGCTTTCGGATGAATGCAAGAAAAAACGTATAATAAGATGAAATTTACACAATTGACCGTTTTTAATATTTTTAAATGTTGAAAAAGGGGTTTTTTTTTTTCAATTCCACGACATTTTGACCAAGAAATGCTTTACACTGCCTTATTTAGAGAAAGGAGTGAGCTTCAAGATTGGTGACGAAGATCACGAACAGCTTCCCCAAGACGACGAAGATGATACATGGGAGTGTATCTGGTCTTGTATTCCGGCGAATCCGATCTGTTACCTTGCATGTTCGGCTGATGGAACTCTGTTCGCATCAGCGGGAGAGCATGATCGCCTTGTGAAGATTTGGTTTGAATGTAAATACGGTGAGTGGGAGTATGTTAGGATCAAGAGTAATTTTTTGACGTCATTGTTTGCTTCGACGATAGATTCGTTTTCGTCTATTTCGAGAAGCTTCAGTGGAGAGAAGTCACACGTAATCGGGCAATCTCGTCAAATTCTGTATAGTTTCATCTATCTGGCGCATCCTCGCGCCGTTACCGGACTACAATGGAGAAAATCTTCGAAGTACATGCCAAAGTAAGCTTTCTTTGTTGAAAAAATGGTATAATGTATCACGATTTTTTTGTTGCTTCATTCGTTTCAGGGGATCTGTTTCCAATGTTTTGATAACCTCGTGCAAAGACAATATCTGCCGGTTGTGGGTAGAAACTGCCCTGCCTGACGATGGCCTTGTTAATATGCAGCATTTGGTTCCACCAGCCGCGCAACATCCCAAATTCCGTACCCAGCGGCATCGTATGAGATTCATGCAACGATGGAAGCATATGAAGTAAACTCAATTTTATGATTGCGAATGATTTTGTACGTCCTGCTAACGAGCATTTCCGCAGAACCTGCTTTCATTTTTTCCGCAAGAATGGTCAAGCCGGAGTGATCGGAAAGGGAGTAGCTCTGCCGAAGGGTTCTGAATCCGGTCCTGTCCCAAACTTGCCGTCTACATATTCTGCGCACGATTTTCATTCTTACATCGGCATAAATTCGTGTTCAGCTCCTGTCATTCATTTTCATCTCGCGGGAAGCATTAATGCCGAAACGGATATACCGCTGGTCCCGAGCATGAAGGGAAACCCGAACACAGACTCTGGAAAGGAGCCCGAGTTCGTTGTACACTGGTTGAACAATAAAGAAATGCACTTCACGGCTGAAGCTGAGAGCATTTTGCTCGACCTGGGAAAGAAAGCAATAGAAGAAGAAATAGTGAAACCTCCTGTCGGAAAGGATGGGGCTGTGAGTGACTCAGACTCCACGTGTGGCCCTGATAGCGATGCTGTCCAGAGTGAACTGGGAAGTCCTCGTACGTTGCAAATAACTTTTCTCGTAGGTCAAGCCGCGCAAAATTTCTTATTTTCCAGGAAAACTGGGATCAGTTCGCAGTCCGAGCGAAGCCGGGGACGCTGATCAATTGGCTGGAAAGAACAGCTCTGCGACATCCACGGTTTCGGGTGCTATAGGTTCGAATGATGTGAACATCCCAAAAATGAGCAGCGGTACGAATTTGCTTGGTGATGCTCTTGATCGCAAGATCGAGCTGCTTCTTCGAGATTGGCATCATTCTCCAGATCTGCTCTTCGCTATCCATCCCGTTGATGGTAGTTTTCTTGTATGGTATGTCACGAGTAACAGTCGTGTCTTGTTTGAGTGAACGTCTAGATTTTCTTCGACCACAGGCTGGTGGATAATGTTGATGAGATTCAACCAAACGGTTATCGTCAACCTCAGGTGTCCTTCGCCTGCCGTATTCCAAACGCCCTTCCGCTCGGTGATGCTGCGAGCATGTCTCCAAATGTTGCACTCTACTCAGATCATCTCCTGTTGGACTTGAAACACGCCCTTGGATTGGACATATCACTTCCGAAAGCACCTAAGGGAGTCGAGAAACCCGTGCCTGACCCTAGCACTGTGACTGTGGAAGAAGATACTGACCGCGATCAACCCTCTGATTCCACTTGCGGTGACGAAGACGACGATGGGAGCGGTTTGGGGTTGTCGAAAAATACCTCGCCTACAATTTCCATGCTTTCTAAGCATGTGAATGGCAGTTTGAACTTGTGGCGGGTGACATTCGGAGAAGGCTCTCAGTACTCTCAAGTTCTGAGTATTGGGCATGTTTCTCGAGTTTGTGGTCATAGATTCCGGTGCGTTTCTCCCTTCGTATTGAAAAAAATCGCAATTGCATGATACGTCGAATTTTAGGGTAAACTACATAGCATGCCATCCGGCGCTATCGTTGTTGGTTTCAACTTCGCATCACAACACACCCATAGACTCTCCACGGCGCAACAGCGCACCTGTTCTAACGAAAGAAATTCCGACAAGCCCTGAGAAACCGAGACTGAGTTTGAGGGAGAGTCTCCTGACAAAAGCCATTGTCTCAAAACTAAGACCGGACGGTAAAAGGAGCGATCCTGCGGTGTCCTTTCACAACGGTCATGGAAGTGATGGCTTTTGTTCCGAGTTGATCTTATGGAAAGTGGATCCTGTTGGCCCGTTATCAAAAACCGGAGGTGTAACCGAACTTGCACGATTGACGTCTCCACAGCCCTCGGCGTTTTCGAATTGTGCTTGGATACCGACATTATTGCCGAGGTTGGAATGTTGACATACACCTTTTATTTTTTATGATAATTTTTGTCGAATCACAATTGCGCTATTAGTGAATGAGTTCGGAAGTTCATTCGAGATTTCGAATTCAATATTTTACTTTACGACCGATGGTACTTCGACACTTCGTAAAATCTTGCGTTTTTTGTTTTATTTTTTCCTATATGCAGTGCCACGTTGGGAAGTATTTCCAATTCCCCGAGCGGCTGTTTTGTTGCCTCAGATGGTACATGTTTGCGTGTTTACCAAGCTGTGATAGACGCTCGTTCTCTCCTGGCTGAAATTACTCTTGCCGAACGCAAACGGCAACGCTGGGTACGTCTAAATTTTCGAAGCAATTATGCGAAGATAACTCTTATTCTTCACTTTATAGCCATCTGGTAGCAGCGGTAGTTCGACTACTCTTAGCGGCAAAGATGGGAAAGAGAATATCACTGACGCGATCAACATCGTCTCTCAGCAATCCACTGCCCGTCCGGGATGTATTATTCAATTGGATGCGATCGCTGATGCCACTCATGTACGACCGAGCAATTTTTTCTCAAAAGTTGGGATCTTGCATGAATATTTTATTCCAGGATTGGCAAAACACGGAGTTTCTGCATGTGTTTCAAGAGCAGCTGATAACTGGTGAACGACCTGGTTCACGCAAAGGCCTTAATGACAGCGGTATCAATTCTACGGGAATGGGACTGATAGATCCAAAGGACGACGTTTTTGTGGATTTGGAACAGTCCGCAATGTTTCACGAACCGTTCTATGTTATTCTCATCGAAGGGACTCCCATTGGATCCATTTTGCACATGTGGAAACTAATTATCTCCTCTCAGCCGTCTTCAGATGGTGTGTTGATGCGTGTTGCTGTTCTGTTGCGCTTCATAATATCTGTGTTTTCTTAGATACAGACGGAAATGCCATCTATACCGATTCTTGTGGTGTAGATGCGGATGGGGTTGGCATCTCCTGTTCGTCGCCACGACAATCGCATGAAGATGGACGAGGAAGATCAGCTTGTCCCGTTTTAATTTCAACGGAAAAAGTATGTACACAGCCATTGGCTCTTCCGCGGGGAACGACAATTATTCATGCTGCTCCGGTTGCTGGACACCTTTCATCGGCATCTATTTATCCGGCTTGTTTTGCTCCTTATCTGATCGTAACTGCGTGTTCCGACAACACAGTGAGGTGATTTTTGTATGCTGTTTACTTGAAAAGTATGTTTGCTGATCAGTGCATTGTCACAGATTTTGGAAGTGCGATTTTGCGGGTGACGATTGCATTTCTTGGAAAGAGTGGAATATGTCCGGTAAAGATGGAAAATCGAGACTGTCGATACCCGGTAAGTTCTAAGTTTTCTTTTTGCATGCCTAACCTACGAAAGGAGGACAAAACAGTATGGTATTCCTGCTCTTGTTGTTTGTCCCCTAAAATAACTTCGTTGAATTGGACGTTTTTTGTTCAGGCACTCCGTTGAACGTATCTGCTGCATACACTGGGCGAGTAGCATGTGCGTATCAACTCGCCAAGTTGATGGCTCCTGATGACGAAGATTTCAGTCGTCTTGTGAATCTCTGTGTCGCAATCTATGAATGTGAATCTACAGGTGGTAAGTTGGTTTCCGTACATGTTCTATGACACCTTGTGGACGAACAAGATGCTCTAATTAAAAAATGTCGATGCATAATTCGTCTGCTCTGCGCATAGGTTCGGAATGGGTTTTAGAGGACACCATACATTTGAAGCATGTTCGTCTACCGCAGTTTCATCTAGAAAATCAGATAGATCTTGCTGCTCTGTACGACGAAAAATTACGGATGCAACGAGAAAGAAGTGTCAATGCGATGGTTCGAACGTTTTCGAGTGATGATCTGGCAATGGATTCTGATCATCATGATCATTGTAATCTTCACGGTATAGTCAGGCTGTTCTTGAATTGAAATCTACTTTTAATTGGCTTCAACTTATAGAGACCTTCAGAGGGTTGATCGCGGTACCAAGTTACAGCACCCTGCAAACTTTAAAGCGCTCTATTATTGAGAAGGGTAATATTGTACCTGTACCACAGAAGAAGCATTTGATGCAAATCGATTGGGTGTCGCGGGAGGATGGATCTCACCTTTTGACGATTGGAGTTGGGAGCAAAGTGAGTGTGGTCACTCTTACGATGCGATTTTAACTTTTTAATTTGTATATCCGCATCGCAGGTCCTTATTTTCACTCCGATTTCAAGTGACGTTGCTCAGTCAAATTTGGCTGCCATGAAAGAAAGCCAAACGCAGTATAGACCTGTGCTGAAGAAAGCGTCATCAATGGTTTCTTCTCCCTTTCCGCTGGATGAAATTCGGTGACTAGATTAGAGCAGATTTTTTTTTTTACGGTACAGTATTTGTTTGAACTGCATTTAAGGTGGATGAAAGTGCGTGAAGTTATGTTGCACTCAGCGGATGGACTTCCTGCGCTTCCCATGCATACTTCTTGGGTTCGTGATGGAATACTGGTTGTTGCAATGGACAGCGAAATGCACGTCTACTCTCAGTGGAAACCTCGTATGAAAGCATGTTGTTCGTTTGAAAACGAAATTTTTATGGAGTTTTTTTTAGGTTACGTTCAAGATTCCAGTCAAGTGGAAATTCAAGGTGGTGATGACATGATGAAGTCGCGCTGTCTAACCGAGAGCGATTTGCGAAGTTTGGCGCAGGAGTCAGCCCAGCGGCGTCTTGCCCATGTTGGTTCATTAGCAAATCTTCCGCGGACCGTTTCAATGGCGAAAAATGTCCAAGGACAAGCTATACATTTGTCAGAAATCACAAGAAGAAAAATGAAGCTTCATGGTGGTATGTCAGACGTTGCTCGTTTATCTTCACCGGTAATATTGACGAGTAAATATTTCATTAAGTTGTTGGAGTCCAAGAATCGCATAGAGTCATGCAGGATGAGCTACCAGACTTCGGATTATTTGAAGCAAGTCGAATTGTGTGCCCTGTGCTGCCCCAATACCATCCGAAACAGTTGATGGAACTTCTGAATTCGGGCAAGATACGTAGAGTGAAAGCAATCTTGGCCCATCTTGTGCGTTGCATCACAAGTGCTGATGGTGTTGCACATGCGCATTCGTCGCGACGTGCGTCGGAGGAAAATTCGGAGCACCGACGTCGAAGCTGGTCTCGGTCAAGAGCACTATCAGTTTCCGGACCCTCGGGTGGAGGTGTGTAGCCCGTTGTAGATCATGACGTGTTAAGTTCGTTTTTTTTAAAAATAATTTCTTTTCGCTGCTTGATTGAAGAAGGAAACCATTTCGATGTGCCCATTCATCACGGTTTTCCCCCTTAGTATCCTATTGATTCTGCGTGTATTTTTACAGGTCGGGGTATTGCTACGGACACCGTCGTTCCTGAAGAGCTCACCTTAGACTACGTGGAAATCAGCTCTATCCCTCCATTGCCACTTTGGGTGCTCCTGCAAGCAGATTCTGAAACTGGCCCCGCCGGTCCAGGCGTTAATCAAGGAACGAATGCAAATGTTCGTGAGGCTGACGTGAGTGATGAAATGCTTGATGTTCGCGTAATTATATTCAGTCATGTTTCATGCTTGACAGGCGAAGAAAGATTATTCTGACTTATTCAACACCGAAGTGACGAACACTGATGATGACAACCTAGATGAACTTCTGTCAGATGACGTTGAAGATTACGGCAACCGTGGTCCTGACTCGCGTCGGAGGTCCTTATCCGCGGATCGTCGAGGATTCACTAACTTCGGGCCTCGAGAAGCTAGGGTGTTGAGTCAGCTTCTGACTCACACTCACTTACCTGGTCTATCAAGTTTAGATCAGATGCATTTGTTGGCTTTGGCTGACACCGTCGCGTCGTGCAACCTTAATTTTGCCGAAAGATTTGCCATTGATGTAGCTTCTGCTAAAATCGGTCGAGATGGCAACGCGGCGACTCCTGGAGTTGCCCTTCATCGTAAGTGGCTTTTGGAAAACTGTAGAGGTGTACAGCATCATCAGCCCAGGAAGTTTTTCGCTTTTTCAGAATCTGTCGACGATTGTGGACTAAGGTTTCTTTTGGCCATGAAACACCATTCTTATCTTATGCGCTGTCTCCCCATTGCGCAAAGAGCTGTTCTTCAGAAACAGGTACATCATCCGACTTCGCTCTCTCTTCGTTATTATATTTGTGATAAATGTTTTATAGGGCATGACAACAAATACTTTGGTTTGGGCCTTCCATTCTGAAAGCGAAGAAGAAATTTTACAAACAATTCCATCGTATACTCGAGGTGACATAAAATGGGCTGATCTCCGAGAAATCGGAGCTGGTTGGTGGCTTAGAAACCACACGGCTTTGCGGCGATGTATCGAAAAGGTATTTCGAATCTAGACCTACTGCAGGCTTCTCAGAAGATTTGATTGCTTCGAAATTTCAATCTTCTCTCTGTCTAAAGGTTGCTAAAGCCGCATTCCAGAATAAGCAGGATCCTCTGGATGCGGCGATTTTCTATTTGGCAATGAAGAAGAAGTCATTATTATATGCATTATACAAATCTATACGCGAAACAAAGATGGCGGAGTTCTTCGCAAATGATTTTAATGATCCAAGATGGAGCAAAGCAGCACTCAAGAACGCCTACGCTTTACTCGGTAAACAAAGATTCGAACATGCAGCCGCATTTTTTCTGCTTGGAGGAGCACTGAATGATGCTGTTCAGGTTCGTTGCGTTGTTTATTTCATGTTAATCAGGAATGCTTTTATATCTTGTTTTTTGTGAAGATTTGCGTTACCAAGCTCCACGACCTGCAACTTGGCATGGTTTTATGTCGGCTGTTCGATGGAGAACGAGAAAAGACGCCACCATCTCTTCGTCGAGTTCTGAATGAGGTTCGCAGCTGTTTTCACGAATTTCTTCGCATGAAATTATCGCACTTTTCTTGAAATTGACAGGAGATTTTGGGATGCGATGCACAAGGAAAAAACCAAAATCTGGATCGCGCACATGGTGACCCATTTTTAAGGTAATGGGAATCTTCGGGTCGAAATAGGAAGGATTGAATTTTTTCATCAAATTCTGCAGATCAATGTCATATTGGATGCTCGGAGATTACGCTGCTAGTCTGAACACGTTGTTACAAACGAATGTTGGCTCACAACATTCCAATGTGGATGATGAAGACGCATCTCCGAGAGCAACTTCGCAATCTGGTTGTATCATGCTTGAATATTTTTTACCCCGCGAGAGAAAAAATATTTCTTGTTCTTTGTGTAGCAAATCCGAGTGTCTTCAACTTTTATACGTATCTGCGTACCCACCCGCTGATTATTCGTCAGCATCTTGCGAACTCGACGCGAGACACCAGCTTGATCGGCTTCGGGAGCTCTGGCGGAGCGGTAGTTACATCACCAGATTTAAAAAAGGTAGTTTTCGATTTCCTCAATAGTACAGCTGTGTAAGGCAAGTGTTGTTACAATTTTCCAGCCATTGTTCGAGGAATGCATCACGTCGGTGGAGCGTATGTTATATTTTACAACAGCTCACGCTCACTTCAGAGCGGGCTGTCCCGCGTTGGCGCTGGAGGTACTCTCAAAGTTGCCAAATTTGGTTGTTGTTGACGAAGAAGGCACAATCGTAGCAGGATTGACAAGGGGTACGTTCACATAGCGTTTCGTCCATCTTTTTGTAATATTTTTGAAATTAACGAAACAGGGAAAAGCATCGGCGACGAGCCACGACTTGTGCATCAGAAGAGTATCGCCACCGGAAACTTGGATGACGAAGACCTTGGTTCGTATAAAATATCCCTTCCTGTTCAACAGCCAATAACCAAAGTTTGCTCTGTTCTCAATGTTTTGATTGAGTTGACATGGTTGCTCGCTTAAACTTGAGTGAAAGTATTGAAGAGTCCAGAGTCTCTAGACCCTCGAACAGGCTGTACGTATATGTGCTCATATACCGCGATGGATTTTCAGCTCGCACTGATGCCATCGATTGGTCCGCACCGAGTATCAAGAAAGAAGAGGAGTTGGTTCTTGAGTGGAGCGATGGCGAATCTGACGAAGATCATGAGGGCATACAATTTCCGAAAGAGGAAAAGAAGAAAATCCTAGAGGAATCTTCGAAATTATCGGCGATTCCTTCTGACCGCAGCCAGAGAAAGTCCGGAAAATTTGATATAATGGCGCAACAGCTGAAGTTCATTGCATGCTTGCAAATATTGATGGAAGAATTGAGCACGCTTGCAACCGGATGTGAAGTTGACGGTGGACAACTTCGGTGAGTGTCAACTTCATCGGATTCTGATAGGATGACTGACATAACGAAAATTGCTGTAATTGTTCAGAAATAGGTTTTGGGGAAAAATATATTATTTTCGCTTTGAGTGGGAAATGCGGGGCAAGCCATATTTTTTTAATCGCCGTCATCTTCGTCTGTACTTCAATTTCAAAGCTTTGTGATTTTTCTATAGCTTAGTGATTTTTAACCATTTTGTGATTTCAACAGTTTTTTAGCCTTTCTAACTTGTCGCTTTTTGAAGAAACGCTGTTACCTTCATGTGAAATCTTTTGATGGTTTGCAGGTTCCAGCTCTATGTTTGGCTTGAGAGAGAAGTACACGCTTTGCGTCAGCTATGCAATTACAACGAAGATCTGGAAGATACTTCGGAGTGTGATGGTGAAATGGGTATTTTTCAAATAATAGATTGAGTTTTCATCTGAATTCAGGAAATTCTCTCATTCCAGAAACGCTTGGTGAGATGGACGGATCTAGAGGCTATCCGATGAACGGAATCGCGGACAAACCTACTCTACATGAAATATTGTTAGCGGATAAAGCGGATTTCGAGGCCAAGATTGAACGTGCTGTAAAGCGAAAACAGTGGCTGCGAGGTGAATAACCGTTTAATCTACTCGTCCTATCTAAATTCGTTTGACAAGATTAATAATTTAACTTTTTTTCAGCAAATCAAACCCTTCTAAGAACGCTGCAAAGTTACTGTAGCCTACACGGTGCCTCAGGTGGCGGGCTTGCTTCTGTCAGAATGGAGCTTGTCCTACTGTTGCAGGAGCTCCAACAAGAACGTGCGATAAGTGGATTAGGGGCTGCACAGAATCATCTTTCATCGCCGCTTCCCTTGCCAACAACTTTGCCCCTGCTTGCTGCGAGTGTGGCACCGGATAAGACTGTGGTTTATGACCCCATCAAGCACCTGCAGTCTCTTGCTCACGACCTGCTCCAGGCGTCGGTGGAAATTTTTCATGTTCCTATCCCCGGAACAGTTGACTTTCCGCGGATGTTCGTCATGAGAGATCTCTCTATAGCCTTGTCATCTTGTGTTTATCAATGCTTATGTGACTCGGATTCATTCGTCGTTAAGCAACATCGGAGCGGGTGAGTGAATGTGATAATAACTGGCTGATCACTTCTGCATTACTGTACTCCTGTTTTATGATGTAGCCTTGCGGGAGCTGCTCTGGAATCTCTTCTACAAAAGGGTGTTGTTTATCAAAATGCACACTTGACAGCGGGGTTATGGAAGAAGAAAGCGAACGAAGAAGCGCTCCATGTAACAACAGCTCCGAACAAGTGGCCAGGTAAGAACACCTTGATTGTGTGGAGTAGGGATTTGAAAACGCCATTTTCACTCGAAGGTGTAACGTCGCTGAGAGCATTGCTGGCACGGGAGCGCGATGAAGACGCGCCAAAACTAAATGTTTTACTGTGTGAATCGTTCGTCGCTGTCTACGTCAGCCTTTTTGTGTTCGGCTTGGCGACTTGTGACTGTCACGTGCTCTATCGTCTCATTGCTCAGGATTTCACTGAGACAACGTGGGCCGCCCTTTTCGGTGGAGGCGTGAAAAAGCTTATCAAAGTTTCAACCTCAAACTCCTCGATTCTCCCCCAGACGAGTATGAAAGAGGACTCCCCGGGTGTGAACTCGGATCAGGATTCTGGAATCCTGTCGTCGCTTACGAAACAGAGGCTAAAATTGAACATGCGTTTGTTAAGCTTCAGTGGTCAGCAGCACACCTCACTCAAGCAAGCCATGAAAGAGGATAGACCTACGTACCGAGAGCATTTTGTTCCGCCGGAAATGTCATTCCTGGCGTTACTCATGAGCAAGGTTCTTGTTTCATTACATTGTACTTGAAAGAAGTTACGAATATTTCAACGTGTGATATTGATCTTCCGCAGCCGAATTTGAAGGGCGATAAAGCTGATATCGACTATGATTCCACTGTTGGATCTGAAGCGTCGGACTCGGAATCTAATGAAGAGGACGACTTCGAAGAGGATGTGTTCAAGGAGCCCATACAGAAGAAACCTGATTCGAATTCCGAGAACACGGAGCATCTGGATCCGTATTCATACTCGTGGGGAATCCTTCGCTGTGCCATTGTAAAAATGGCTCAGGACTATTTGACGAAATTCCTGAATGTGGCCGGATTTGAACTACAAGGTACGATTATTTCGGCTGGATAAAGTTTTCAATGAGGCTTTTTGATTGAATATTTTGGCCAAAAGCTATTTCCTTCTTGGTCTTCATAAGGAATTGTGTGCAAAGTAAAAATTACTTGAACTGTATATTGGAGCTGTAAATTTTTGTAGTGAATCAATATAGTGTTATTGTCGAGCGAATATTTTTTGCCGGCTGGTAATCCGATCTCAATACTTGAGACCGAGTTATGCGGCATTCGGTGCTGTTTATGCTATTCGGTACATTGTGGTTCATTTTGGCGATAGCATTGCTTTAATTTTTCAATTATTCGTACGCGTTACTTTGGTTTTTTTCTCGAAGTGAAAGACCATCTCATTTGACAGAGTTGCCTGTTGCGAGCCCTCTAATGCATACGGTGTTGCGAATTTTGCATCATTGGTCCAAATCTTGCAAGGAATATTTGGATGCATGCAATGGTCCTCCCGAGGGTTACATTCCTGGGTGTTACATAGACCGAGCAGCCGGTGGCCCAGCCATTTCCAAATATAAAACCATACTGGACCCGAAGAACACCCCTTTTCCGTGAGTCCCATATGAACCCGAGATTTTAGTCTCTTGAAATTCCCTTCTATATACCCAGGAAAAGTTCACATACAAATGTTCGAGCCATCAAGCGTTTGTGGATGTATTTGGTTCATGAGGAATCTGTTCAAGAAGTTTTTATTCGGTACATATTCTCTACACGTCATCGCAATGCTTTCCCGGTGAGTGGGTAGAAAATTCTAAAAAAAAAAGTAGGCGTGTTTTGTTTTTGTGAGAGTAGTGTACTGTATTTTTTGCTGTGGAGTCCGCATTTTCAACCTTTCCATGCTCAAATTTATTTAATTTTCCAGACGATTTCAATGAGTGACTCCACTTTGTTGATCGGCGACGAGGCGTCGAATACAACTGTGACGCAGGTGACAGGCTCGAACCGCCGCTTGGACTTCCCAGATGCTCCTCCAGTTCCGGGCCCAGTGAAAGTTATTCATAAAGAACATGACTCCATTTCCGCCTTCTGCATCAGCAAAACGAACCCGGGTGTCATGGCACTGGCTACGCTAAAGGAGATTCAGGAACTGGATATTGCCCTGTTGCTTCAGGCACCAGCATGGCTCGAGGATGAATGCGAATTCGACATCTTGAATCTTCATAGGTTTTCACTTCGTTTTATGCCATCTACTACTTATTGGTCCATTCCTTTGAGTGGGGAGTAACGTTCATTTTTCGACTGAAACAATTTCAGAGATGCGGAGAGTTTGCCCTCATCGAATTACCTGGTTATTTCCGAACGTCCTTCGGCATCTCAGCTAAGTCTTGGAGGATCTGGTACACCTGTTGGCCCACCTGGTATTTCTTCATCGGCCTCTTCGAACCATCCTTTAAGCATGGCGGCTGGAGTTTCAGCATCCGGTCAAAATCTCGGGGCCCAGAATCAAGCCTTGAATCAAACAGGGCGTGGGAGCACTGTGGTGAGGAATTTTTTTTTTGTCGAAGTTCTAATGTGCAGTTAGTGTGACATAAGAAAATTTGTCTTCTCTTCTTTTTCATGCTGCGTTCAAAACTGGTATCATAGAAAAAGGGTTTGAATTTTCCTGGCTCTCATATTCCCGATTATGTTAAATTTGTTTTCCATCGCAGTCGGCATTTGCTTAAACCTGTAAGTTTGTCTGTGTAAGCGGATTTCGAAGGTACTCATTGAAAAGGCATTCTTACTTTCAGCTGAGGCATCATAAAATAGACAACGTGAAGCGTCTTAGTGCGCATCCACTTCTTCCATTATGTGAGTAACGAAGAGTTCGACCAATTTTCTTCTCCTCAAAATTTGTTTTTTCTCGTAGATCTGAGTGGTTCCCAAGATGGATCTGTCAGTCTTTGGGAATGGGACCATGCAACCCCTATTTCACAGCCAAGATCGGCAGGCGCTTATGCCAAAGTCACGCGTGTGCGTTTCAGTCAACATGGTAATAAGTTCGGTGTTTCCGATTGCGATGGAAATGTTAGCTTGTGGCAGCTGGGCCTTAATTCGGTTGTCACTCGGCCGTTCTATGTGAGTAATTTTTTTTTTACATTTTGCGCATCCGGCAATGATCACATTATTTTCAAGAAAAGTTGAGCCTGAAAAATTTACAGGAAAGGCGCGTGGGTTTGACTTCTTGCTTTTCTTTCTCGTTTCTGGTTGGTTATTTCGTTGTCAATTCCAGCAATTCGAAGAATTATCCACATTTTTCTTGAAGGTCGGCGCTATATTTCTTTCTCCAGAATAGCAAAAATTATTTTAAATGAGTCCTTCCGAAAATTTTCAAATATACTGTAAATATATTCATATACTGTATATCTCACGAGGTTTCCGAAGTTACTAAATTTTGGCTGAGCCTATACCAATTTTATTTCGAGGTAGAACGTTTTTTGCTCATTTGTAGTTCCTTGAAAATTTAATTCGTGTGATGGACTTTGTTCTGCCGAGAGTCGAGTGCACTGGATGCTGAGAAAAGTCGACCATCCTTTTTATACTTGCAGACGGTTCAATGCCACAGCAAGCAAACGAACGACTTCGCTTTCATCGGTGGAAATAGCTTGTTCGCCTCCGCTGGTCATGGATCTGAAAATCGAAATGTTTGCCTGTGGGATACTTTGCTGCCGATAAAGCGCTCTTTAGTGCAAAGTAAGAAAATGATTTGGAATTAGTTATAACTTGAATCTCATGCTTCGGAATGGTTGCAGCTTTCTCATGCCACGACCAGGGCTGTTTGTCTCTAACATATGCTCCGCAGCATCAGTTGCTCATTTCGGGTGGAAAGAAAGGGGATGTGTGTTTGATCGATGTTCGACAGCGGAGTGTGAGGCATACATTTCCTGCTCACAATTCTGCAGTCAAGGCCGTTGCGTTAGATCCGAATGAAGAATTTTTCGTCACCGGATCCGCAGATGGAGACATCAAGGTATTCAAATTTGCTTTATGGTTGGTTGCAATCATAAAATCCATATAGAATTCTAGAGTACAGTATTCACGCGGAATATCTTTTACTGTGCGGGGTGTGCAAGTCCAAACTTATCCTCAAAGTAACTTAAGCACGCTTTGAGAGACCGACAAATATCCTTTCAGTTTTCAGCTTTTTTTTAAGCATTTGAGCGTAATTTCTGACGTTGAGCCGCGAGTGTTTTACATACAGTACCGTATTGCATCGTCGTGGAGGTGTGTAAGCCAAAATATCTGCTTCTCAGCGAGTGGGCAACATTATGTGCTTCTACCGAATTTGTGCATGTTCCTCGTACCTATACGGTGCAGCGTACAGGCATTATAAACTCGATTAAGACCTTACAAAAATTTTCTTCGAATTTGTCCGCCACACTAACGTTATATCCAGCCGTAACCAGGCATGTTTCCCGATTATGATGACGGTACAGTACTGTATTAGGTTGGGATTCCTAACAGCGTTGGAGCAAATAATAATTTTCAAACCACGGGGCAATTCGGAAATAATGCCGTTATTCCCAAATGCTATGTGGACGAAATTGATTTCCTCCTTGTTGATCATGTACCTGACGGATTCAAATGAGCTTAATCCTTGTCCATGCAGGTTTGGGGCTTGACGATGCACAGTATGGTTTACGCGTTCCCAGGGGAGCATGCCAGGTCGTCGTTCTTCAAAGCTCAAGGTCAAGGTGTGACGCAGCTACATGTCGACTTCAATGGCCGGCTTTTCTCGTGCGGCGCAGACGGTTCTCTGAAGCTGAGGCATTTGCCCGTTCACAACTCCCTGTTCATGTGATTTTATGGAGTGACATATTCCAGGAGCCATTTCGGGTGGTTGTACGATTTACATTGAAAGCGCCTAGTCTTTGTTCGACCACATCGTTTACTTGTCAGCATATATTGTTGGTACATTAGTCAAAACGTTAATCATTTCGCGGATGGCGGAGAAATCGCTGACGCGTCCGCGTTTTGTCAACCCTGGGCTTCCGGATGGACCTCACATTGGAGTTCTTCGTTGCTGAAGTCCTTTCCGTGACGATAACCATCTTCGAGTGGGCCTCTAGTCCCTCATTCGCGGAACGTTAGTCGCAGAGTAGTAGTTTTTTTTTTAAATTATGAATGCCTAATCTATGTTCAAAACGCGTTGTTCAGAATTCCGTGTCGTAGCGATCTCGTCAAAATAGTCAGACAGAGTCGAGGAAAGACAAGAAAAAGCATGCATTGCGATTCCTTTTCAGGTGAAATCTTTTGAGACTCTCGTTCGTGGTTCACAAATTTACATTCCATGTGGTAGCGCCACTTGATTCAAGTGATGGAAATCAGTGCAATCGTAACATATGATGGACCATGGGTAAAAAAACGTGCTGCACGAAATGTTATTGTTGAATATAAACGTCCCGTATACAGTCATCATTACTGCATTCCATTCTCGTCGCGATCGCGCATTTCCTCGCCATTGTTTCAAGGAAGCTAACCAACGATCCGTGCCTTAAATGCTCGCAACGTTTTTAATTCACAGAATTTGTCAACGATGTTACGATTTACAATTCTTTCCGAGTTTGAGCAGTTCTCTTTCGAAAGAATTTTCCTCTGCGTATCAGCTCAGTCGGATGGAGTTATTGCATTGATTTTAGTGAGATGTTACTCGGCTGATTTTTTAAATCGATCTGTAATTTGTAGAGGCGGAAAAGTGTTGACGCGTGTTCGTCGTCTAATCAAGCTTTCGTGAACTTTTTCAAAGGCAATAGGGTTATTCGGAAGTTTTAAATTACCTTGTGCCTGGCGTCATCCGAAGATTGATCGTGACGATATATATTTCAAACAATACTCATCACGAACTGAATTGATGTTGTGACCCGAGTTCCACTCTTAGCTTATGGCTGTATTTGTGCAATGGTGTCATTCGTGGCTTCGATGTCGTTCCCGAATAGTAACGATAAGTGATTTGATTTGTTGTGTTAGGTCTTCGACCGCTTCTTCGGAATTCTCTACGATATGCGCGTTCGCACGATTATGGGCCTACGCCAATCTTTTCATCGTATCGAGTGAACTGCACTGTATGCAATATGCATAAGCATACAAGTTGGTCCAGAAAATCGGCGATTTTCAAGAGCTCTCGAATTGTGTTCGAGTCAGAAACTAGATTTAAGTGCCGAGTGACGGTTTGATATCTTTATTAAGTGAAACGCGCGTTCTCCTTGTGCGGTAAAATGAATCGGAAATGTATGGAATGTTCATAACAACGTAACCACACATTCGCTGATGAAATACCGAATTCGTTGCTGGTGTTTCTCTTGATCACTGCTATGGTAAGCAGACTATGAAATTTCAGAGTAAACTCTGAACAAGGATGATAAAATCTGGATGACGCAGCGCGCATGTCATTCTGAAGTTTATTGTGAGCATTAGAAAGTGTTAGTTTTTGGTTTCAGCTTCTGACGATACATGTCATGGAGGCATTCGAGCATATTCGAAAACATTTAAAATTTCGACGTGAGTTTCGTGCTCCGTCTATTACTTGTTACGCAGTGGTCAATTCGGGACCGGTTCTTTTCTTCTCCATCTCATGGGAATCTGCGAGCTCTTAAGGGGTCAAAATCATACGTGCTGATTTTCCGACTCATCTAGTGCTTATTCAAGAAGGCTTGAGCATCTTAAAAACGTTCTGGGAATCCTCCCGATTTGACGCGGTGGTTATGCTAACGTGGTCACACCGTCTGATGAATGACGATAATCGAGAGGAAATGTTGAGAACTTGCATTCAGCGTTTTCTGTTCTTATGGTCCGAACTTCGAATAGCCGAAGAGGTTGTTTGAAAATTGCTAGGTTTTTTGGGCCGCTTTGTATGTTGATCGTTGACCTCGGATTCTGCTATTCGTTAATAGCTTGTTCGGTGATTTCCAGTCATGAATAAAGTGCTGTATGTTTGTTGGCCGCTAGGCGCGCGTGTTTGTAGTGCGATGAACCGCCTTCGATGGATGGGTGATCGTTGACATTGCTTACATTTATTTGAAAAAAAAAAAAATAGTTTCAGCGCACTCGACCTAAAACTTTCTTCGAGAAATTTCATGGAATTCGCGTATTTCGTCTTTCAGATTCGTATTATCTACAAAGTATTCATATTTTTCTATGAAGGGGAAGCCCTTGGGTCGCATCTGTTATTTGAGCAAGCGTCTGCTCCATCAGTGTTTTCGACAAGATCATGTACCTGAGTGATCACATTTTGAAAAACGGCATATGGCCCTGTGATACTGTAAGTAACTGTGGTTTTTGGCGACTGACGTTGCTCTAGCACGATGAGTGACCCGTCATCACGTTGTATGACTATTGGCTGTTGGAGGAGTCATGCTGTATCTCAAGACTTCATTCACAGGATTCTGAATTTACGTTTCGCTGCCAGGTTAGTGTCACCCAATTAAGATTAAACTAAATGGGCACTTGGTATTTTGGCGATAGAAACGCTCCTGGATACGCTTGATGAACCAATCGATTTAAACGTTACCCACTCACGCATTCGTCGTTTGATTTCAGCTCTTTCTTTAGTCATCATCTGATTTCTCATCGTGTTGCTTACAAAAGTCGTGATCTAATACTGTTCCTCATCTCCAGCTCTTGGGCGTCCAAACTGTGGAAACGACGTCATCCGCAAATCAATCCCTGTGATCACGAAGCACGAGAGGATGAGTGGATATTCGTTACGCTGGCCCCATCGCGAATTCTTCGAGTTATTCATGTTGTTCCTGGTGGAATTGCTCGCAGGAATTCATTGGCTCTCAACGACAGTCGCCCAAGAACGACTAGAAATAATAATTCGGTCGTTCTACTAAACCTGCCTCGACATCATAGTGATTCACAATTGTACTCGACATCTCACGAAAGCCTTCCGGAAGATCCCTCCACTCTACCGTGTTGCTACGATTCGGATTCATCTCATTCCAGTTTTGTCGTTGCGGTCAAGGATGAGAAAATGTGGCGACGTTGCTTCCATCATCGAGTGGCGCCGCGTTCTAGACCGCGACATCAGCTGACGCCTCAAGTTGAAGGCCGTGACGGGTTAGGATAAATTTCAATGAAAAATTATCTCAGCTTTTGTCCAAAGTTACTTCCGAACGCATGACCGGGAATGAGTCGGCATTCAGTTCTGCGTTTACAAGACTCCCCTACACTCTGTATAGCTGTCGAGGGCCTCCATCCAGCATCAGAATTTTGTATTCTACTTTCAGTAGAACTAAAAAAATATAAATACGTTTTTTTAAATCCCCAAATGACGGTTTTATGAATTGTTTGCAGATCCCCCTTCTTATTCGCTTTTTTATAACATAGTTTCCATGTTATGATCCTCACGGAGTGGGAGAATTCGCCGTGGTTGGAAATGGGTAATTTTAATCTTCTTCAACAGGCCGACTGCGAAGATTGTTGGAACAGAGCCTGGTGACCTCGATGATTTGGGCGGGACAAATGTGCTACTGGGAAGTGAACAAGAAAAATCGGTTGATAAGGCTACAAGTTCGGAATGCATCGACGGAAGCTATCCAAATCTAGCGTTCCAGGGTGATGGAGATATCTTAGGAGGTATGCATGAATTCGGTGTCCTTTACGTCCCGTTGTCCGCAACTTTCGTCCAACTTTTCTACTATAAGGAGAACAGGCAATGAACGGAAACGCGAACTCCGAAACAGCTGTTGGCTATCGTCCATCGAATTTGGAAAGCTTAAGACACAGCGTTTTGCGTTGGTTGAGAGAGCGAAAAAAAAGTCCTACAAAGAAACAAAAACGCCGCAGACGACATCGTCGAAGACTGGATATCGAATCCATGAAGCATCCGCCGGATAGTGAGTTTCACACCGCAAAAATTCGGGTCGGTCATTCTTATTATTGTACATTTTTTTCAGTTGATGCCTCGCAACGAGAAAACTATACTGTTGAGAAAGTGATCATGGATAGCATCGAAAAAGGGAATGCCCGTAAACCACGAAAGGTTATTCTCGAGCTTGATTTTATGCGTTCGTCATTCCTTCTAAAAATGCGTCAATCTGTTGATTCTTGTAGAGAGCTAGGATTCTATTTCTCATTCACGGAGTGGGAGGTTCCGCGGATACTTGGAGGGGACAAATTAACTACTTTCGAGAGGCTGGGTTCGAAATTGTCGCACCAGACTTGTTGGGTCACGGCTTTTCTTCCGCTCCGGATAATCTCAAAGAATTCGAATTCAAGCATTTATTCGCTGATGTTCTTGCAATATTCGACCAGTTCATTCCTCGAGGCGCCAAAGCAGTGATAGTAGGACATTCGTATGGGTGAGTTTCATTTGTTGCGGTGCGTCCCTAAATCGATGGTGAAAGATTTTTCTTCTCAGTTGCTCCTTCGCTACAAAGTTGGCTCGTGTTCGTCCTGATGGAGTGTGTCTTCTCGTTTTGATCAGTGGAGGTGGACCGAATCCATTGGTGCCACCATCGAACGGCGTGTTGGCGTTGCCTACGTGGTTGTTGCAAATGTTGCATCCGTGTCTACGGGTTTATGTTCAAAGGTAAATTTGTATTCATTGCAATGGCGGTTGACTATTCAGTTGCGCTCCGCGTGATCGTGTATTCTTTCCCACGTAACTGTCCTTCCGCAGACCGAAATTAAATGATGGATTTTATTTTAGGGCTTTATTTGAAGGAAATTCAGGAAGAAATGGGAATCCATTATCGCAGGCGTATGACATTCCCCCTTACGTGCTTCATCATGTGATGCGAGGCCAGATTTGGCCAGAAGGCGATTCTAGTTTCCACCGGAAAATTGCAGTGCCTGTGTTGTTGGTCTATGGATTGCAAGATCCTCTCGTATCGTTGGTAGAGATGTGCGAAATGGAACGCGTGAGTATTTCAACTTTTTCCGATGTGCACTTTTTTCTTATACCCAGACTGCGCATGGCTGTGGGTTTTCTCGATTTTAAGAGCGTCTATACCTGTATGGTTTATCGACTTTGTCCTTATTTAAATTTGTTATCCATGTAAGTTTCATGAATTCAACGAATTTCGCTGCACAGTACAATGTGTGCATTTGCCTAATGGCTTGGATTCGCGTTATTCTGCTTCGACGGATGAATTAATAATTAAGAGCTTCGTGACTCAAGTACCGTGATATTTTTTTTGTCTTCAGACAATTCCACGAGCGCATTTGGAACTGCTTCCGGCTGCTGGACATATGTTGATGCTTGATTCTCCTGCACAAGTGAACCGAGTGATCCATCGATTTTTGTTGAAGTATAACCGTTTGACGTATTGCTACTGAATACCGTTTTTTGTTTCGTTATCCTGATCGCAAGAATGTATTTTTGAGCAGAACAAACGATTTGTCTTCCGATGTAGATTTTGTTACTCAGCGCACGAGGAAGAAATGCATTTCACGGATGGGAAGAAAACTGTGTAGTCTTCACTATTCCTATTTTTCTGTGAAACGTGGAATTCAAACTTTGCGTTCACCAAGCTATTCATGTTTTATGCACGTTGGACTAATGCAAGTTTAGGACAGTACTGCTGATGAAGTGGACGAAGATATATTCAAATGCGCATTGCTTTGCGGTTGACGTTCGGCGATTTCTAAGAAGCGTTCGAATGCCTGCCTTCCGCGATAGTGTTCGGAAGACTACTACAGTATAAGCTCGTCACTCGTGGATGTACTGTACGACTTGCGATGCCGTGATAACAACGCAAGCTCGTGATGCTAGAATTTGTCTATTGCGTGGAAAGGAATTGCAAGGATTAAATTAACAGGTTTCTTTTTAAACATGAAGGACACCACGCAGGGTAACTTCTTAATTATGATGGGTGGCTTCTGAAAAGTTATCATTCGAAGCCTCTTTATGTCCCCATCTTTTGACACTATTTAACATGGCCATCTGAACCTGCCGTTCAATAAAATTTTGTTTTGAATTATCCCGTAAAACATGCCACTGTCAGGACTGGTGTTGAACGTTCTGTGCAGTCTGCCAATAAAAAAATTGAAGCAGTGTGTAGCTCTTCATATGTTATATTTTACTACGTACATATATGCATCGAAATATCTATATGAGTAAGAAAGTATCCCGGGATCATTTTTTTAGAGTTGCTTGTGCAATACGTGCACTAACGTTTTTAATCTTCGGTCTGCCTTTCTGGGAGTGCATTAAAAATGCATCTCTCTGCTATAGGAAGAATAAATATTCTTTGAATTATTAATGACCTTCTCTAATACATTGTACAACAATCTTTAATAATTTCATATACAATACAGTATATGTACAAATCCTATCCTGAAGTAAGTTATTCATTTACCGTCTGCCTTTAAACGTGATGCCCCATCGTTTGTGAGGGAATATATAGAGAAATGGACTAAAAAAATCCGCATGGAGAATTATTAAATCCCACTTTAAAGTTGTTGTTGGTTGATGTTGTAACTTCGGTGTAGAAAGTGCAGATTTAAAAACACTTATTGACTTGACAATTTAGACGGCGATTCGCGCTGCCGTGGAGCGCAATTTCCAGATCGGTGGTCCTGTTTCAAAGCTGTATTCCCGCTTGTAAGACGGGCAGCTGGTCAGCAGGAAGCAGTTTTGTATCAGCGACAACGGATGAAGAAGGTCGAATTAAAATGCCCAAGAGTGATTTTCTCAGGGATTTATTACAAGCTTCCACATACACAAGAATTCCCGTCTGTTTAACAAGAACTCCGGTCGCAACTTTGCAAACACAGTCACGAGAACGTTTGATTTTTCTGTCTTCAAAACATAAATAATCACAGTTAGAAACAAATAGTTTTCACAAATACAAACATTTTAAATAAAAGACACAACACTCGCGAAGTTGGAACCTCTAACGTTACGAGCGTGATCTTTCAAATAAAATACAGCCTGACCTCTCAGGGGTTCAGGCAGGAATGGCAAACATGGCCGACAAAAGGGCCCTTGGGCCAGGAGCACGCCAAAACGCCAGATGGGCGCAGATGGTCACCTCAAAGAAAAGGAAAACAACACCCGGTGCAGCTGCGCGTACTGCGCAGTTGCAATGGAAAATTTCAAAGATCCCGGCTGGGAGTATCCAATGCAAAGGAGACACCGACATCCTCGTGCCAACGCGCCGCGCGGGAAGGAAGTACGGGATCCCCTCTCAAGGGGATCAGGTTACCTCCAACCAGGGGAGCCGAGCAACGACCCCAAAAACGCGTGCGCACACCCGGGATCACGTGATCTCCTAGTGCTGAGGTTGTGGTTGCCTCATGGGATCCAAAAGGGGCAAACAAAAATACAAAAAGGGGCATTCACAAAATGTATACATATTTCGCAAATACACACAAAACATCATGAATTCCATACAGAGATCCTCCGGCGTTCCGGGGAATCTTCCGAGATCCCCGCGGACGGCCTGGATCCTTCAGCATTCTGAGTTGGAGAACTCTTCAGCCAACATGATAAACAAACAAAGCAAACAAAATTCAAACCAATGGGCAACCAAAGGGCGAGCCATTGGCGACCAAAGGGTGAGCCATTGGCAACCAAAGGGCAAGCCATTGGTGACCAAAAGTCAAGCCATTGGCGACCAAAGGTTGAGCACTTTGAACAAAAAATTGTACAGCAGCAAATGTGGACAGAGATTCACTCTAGTCCTTCGCGGCGGTGTCATTATAAGTCAAAATAAAATACATACTAGAAATTCAGCATGATCTTTAAATCCACATATGCACTTTGATACAACAATTTTAAGTGGGAGAAATCCTAAGAGGGATTTCCCACAGAGAATCTTTTTTTACAAGTTATGAAGGTACTGTAGCATGTGAAACGTACTGTGTGCATGCTAATTTTCCTCCGCAACTTCTCTACATTGTGGTCGTAATAAAATGCTGTACCATATGCAGCATACATATAGTACAGTAGTAACGCTGTTCAGTTGTCCCACATATGCTTACGGAGAGCCAATTCTAATGAATGGACCTGTTCGCGGCGGCATCCTGTGGATTCCATGCTAGCATATTGCTTAATGTTGGGCTCGAATTCGCGGCTTTCATCAATGTCTAAATTCTATGAAAAACTGGCGTTTTCCATTTTGCGAAAAGTGTAATTAAATTCGTATCTATTTACATTCCTGATTCTGTTGAATTTTCGTGGATCTCGACATTTCCTGAGCTTTTGACTTGTACTGTTTAATCATAGAGAAGTGGTCGAACATCTGCCGGAATTCGTAAAATTGTGTACTTGAGAAATTCGTTATGTCTATCCCGGTAAGTACACCCAGCATCAAAATCGATCAGTATTTGACTAGTATCTTTCAGGACCCATTTCAAGACGACGCCATCCGTCAAGCTTTAGGTCCTGATGGGGGAGCGGCTACTCGGGCATTCGAAGAATCTAATCCGTTTGAAACAGAACCTTCGAGACCCATGACGCAGGTGCGTGGAGCATCTCATCCGCCCCCGGTGATCGGCGTCAACAATCCGCCTGCCGTTTTTCCTGTGCAATCAAGCGCGGTGTCTCAACCTCCTGCGTACTCACGCACAGGTCAACAGCAGTTGGACGAGAGTGCTCGTGAAGCGTTGAAGGTGAATTAATGATTTCGATGTCAGCCGTCAGCGAGCTTATGCCTTTCTTCTTTTCTTGTTTCGTAGAGGCGGGAGAGAGAATTGGACGAAAAAGCGCAGGAACTGGAACGACGAGAACGAAGCCTGCAAGAACAAGCCAATCCTGGCCTGAGAAAAAATAACTGGCCACCTCTTCCTGAAAAGTTCTGTGTTGGCCCCTGCTTTTATCAGGACATTAACGTTGAGATTCCTCCTGAATTTCAACGCATCGTTCGTTTGTTATACTACTTGTGGATGTGTAAGTATTCGTCTTGATGTTGTGTTCGATATTCGTTGAATGCCGATTTTTATACCCTATAGATCACTCTGCCCTTATGATGGTGAATTTCGTCGGAGCCCTTGCACTGGTCATAAAATTCGGCGAAGGGGAGACTTTCGCTCTTTCGATTTTGTATATGCTGCTTTTCACGCCCTTGGGATATGTCTGCTGGTTCAGACCTATTTACCAAGCCTTCAGGTTTTCATACAATCGGTATTTCCTTCGGTTTGATTCAGTGCTGATTCGTTATCATTTGCAGGAACGACAGCTCTTTCAACTTCATGATCTTCTTTTTTGTCTTCTTCTTTCAATTGGTTGTTTCGGTCATTCATTCCATCGGAATACCGAGGCTTGGAACATGGTATGTGCATATTCTTTGTTGATATTGTCGATACTGTGTATTATTGACGTTTTCGTACCGTAGTGGCATCATTACTGGCCTGGCAGCCGTCACTGCCGATAAAGGTGCTGGAGGTGTTGTCGTTGGCATTTTAGTGCTGCTGATTAGTTTGGCCTTCGCTGCTGGAGCCCTTATGGACTTTCTAATGCTATTAAAGGTAATTGAGGTTCAATCTTTCGTTTCCTCTGAACGTATGGACACAAAAAACTCTTCTTCGAAATCCGAAAGGTTCTCTTGATGCAGGAACCAGCGGAGGTCGCCGAATGAACTAGATATTTTTCTCACATTTTTTCATTCTCCTTGATCCCGGCGTAAATCTTGCAGGTTCACAGGATTTATCGCAGTGCTGGAGCGAGTTTCTCAAAAGCTCAGGAAGAAATCAGATCTGGGGTTTTGCGTCACGAAACTACCCGTAGCTTCATGGCTGATGCTGCTTCTGCTGCCGTGCGATCACAGCTGAACCCAAGCGGTCCAACCCCCCGGTTTTAAATTAAAGCGTGCGAAAATTAAATTTGGGTCTAAAATTTCCCGCATCCCTTTGTCAGACCCAATTCTAGTTGATCGCTTTGGGATGCACATGTCATCGGGTGTTGCTTGCTTTTTGGAACGTTATGAGGATTTCCCTTCGTCACCGCGCGGGATTCGGATTATTAGCAGAAATGGTTTGATGAATGATGTTTTTGTTGTTTGCATGTCCTTCTCTGACACACCATCATGAGGCAGAAACTCTGGATATCAATTGTGTCTTGTTGTCATGCTACGTGAATGAATCACTAAACTTGGAATGTATCTGTTACTACCAAGTTTTGCTCGGTTCGTGGATGATCTCCACCTCGATGGCCCGGCCTTGACATTAGTCCCAAGTATTGGAAAGTCGAGATCCAAATCGGTTCGTCAGGATAACTGCGAGGGAAGGCAGGCATTCCAGTGTATTGTTCATTTGATGATGCTGACAGAATGACGATTTTTCTTGATGTGTTGCTCATGTATTCACATCAACATCCGAGTTGTCAAGTGTCCGGGTACCTGGGAGATGAAAGTGCTTTCGAAGTACCTTAAAAACGTGGTTGAAAGGTTCCAGGGGTTAGTGATGTGGACGGGGCCGTCTTCATGTGAAGATCTGATGACGGTGGGAATTCTAGATTCTTATGCTTGTTCGAAATTGATGTGATAATGAGTTTTATTTTCGTTTTTCAATAAGGCGCGAAACGCATGCGTCGTGTACTCTGTTGGGTTGACGTCATTAAAACTTCAAAAATCGTGGGGAAACCATGACGAATAGTTGACGATGGATTATCAAATGTACCCGTTTATGTAAGAGCATGCATTGATGATTGTCTTGCGATTGATCTATTTGTCGATGTCATGGTGTGCCATCGTAAAATTAATTTCGAATATGATGCTTCGCGTGAATGTCCACCAAAATCATAAAAATATTTTCTTTTCCCCAGTAGCGATTTGCTTGTCTTCTACCCTTGCGTTTTCCAGTTTCGTCGTAAACGCTTCGTGATCCCATGCGAGTGTACGTGAAAGTCAACTACGTGTGGTTATCGTGTTTACAAGGCATGTAATATCAATGAAGCCTCTTATCGATGAAGCTTCCTGATCACTGGAAACGAAACATGGGTTTTGGCGTCTCAGTGTTGCGTCGGTTATTTATTAAGTCCGTTGAAGCATCTTCTGTTACATTTTCACCAGACTTCAGATCAGGAAATGCTACCTGTGATTCGTAAATGTGCGACATATTTTCCGCTCTGCGCAAGATCTGCGTCAACGAGACATTTTGAAACGAGGAAGGCTCGTCGAAATGACGTCGGTGTTCGACGAAGGTTTGAAACGTTGAGGAGAACTGGCCATGAGGTGGAAATAGATAAGTTAACCGACGATGTAAGCCTTGGGTTGGACGAGCATAATTATTTCAAGAAGGTGGATTCATTCCACGCCGAAGATCAGTGAGTTCACTACCCCGAACAACGTCCAATGCCTGGTAATCATCATTGCATCACCACTCACAGTAGGTCAATCGGCATGTCTGCGTCAATGCGCTACCGCATGATCGAAAGAAAATCGTTCCAAGATCTCGCTCCCCGTGAACCAGATTTACTCACATGGATCGCGAAAGAGAAAATTCGGTACCTGAATCTGAAGGATCCACAATCTTGGACGCCCGAGAAATTGGCCGAATCATTCCCATGCTCCGTACGTAAAATCAAGGTCAGCATCTTGTGAAAGAAATATATCTTAAGAATAGATTTCTCCTAATGTTATACAAGGTGAAAAATATTTGGTCAGTATTATCCAGCTTCACGTGTGACCACTCGAGCAGCAGGAAAATGTCCACGACCTCTCCAGGCTTCAATATTTTTTGAAAGCGCGCGCATCATGGAACATGGTCTCATAGTATGACTTCTCAATTTTTACAACTTGCATTAGTGATGGTGGATATCAAGATAGTTAAAACATGTCAGCTGACGCGTAAGGCGTTGATCAGCTTACGGTTGCGATTGAAAATAAGCTCGCAATCGAATATCAGGCTTGTAGGATTTTACTTATCAGATGCTTAGATGCCACGAGAAATTTTTAAAATAATCTGTTGATTATTTTTGAGATGGATATGTTTAGAAATGTGATGGAAGTCATTAGATCCTGATCAGCTTCGAAGTGAAGTTGGCAGATGGAATGCGAAGAAAAGCTTTTTCTTATGGATTAAAAAAGCCGTTCTCGAGTAACGTATGCCTAAAAACCAGAGTTCGTATTTCTATTCTGAAGTTTCTTTGTGTTTGGAGGATTATGATGATTTCGCTCTCGCCGGTTAATCATCAAGCATAGTTTTCATTGTGAAACTCATCCACCCTTCACTTCGGTGCAAAGAACATGCGGATTGTGCATCATGACCTGATTTGCTTAATTTTTCCTTGTTTCAAATGAAATTCAGGAAATCCTACGCAGCAAGTGGGTTCCAAAATCTAGTAATGATCTTGAGAAGCATGACGATTCCGTTCTTGAAGCATGGAAAGTTATCGGAAAGAATCTTGGTGGCCCTTTGTCAACGAAAGCAGTGGACAAGGTGACATCCTCCTCACGTAGTAAGCGGTGGAACTTTTTTCGGAAGGAACTTACTCTTGGCATGACTTGATTCTCATCAATAGTTGGCCTCGCTTGGTCTGGGAGTGCAATCTTACCAAACCGGAAGGCGAAATCTTTGCCGGATAATGGCGAATTTTTCGGTTTGCTCTCTGAGCAGGCGAAACCCTGGCGTGAAAACATGAACAGGAAGGATGTGCTTCAGTTTATCTCAGCCTCGGAAAAAGGTGATCACCTGCTCAGAAGGCGACGGTCCTTTTTCCGTAGGGGAAATCGAAAGATTGCTCAAGTCGACCCGGAATCGTCCTCAGTGAAATTCACGCACTCCTCTTGATTTATTGTTATCGGATTCGGTAGATTGTAATTGATTAATACATATTATAAATTTGAAAGTCTCGCATTCCGATGTATTCTCCTTCATTGTTTTTGTTCGTCGTCCTTTTTCTATTTTAAACAGGGATGGTCGAATATGTTCGTCCACGTTGCTCGAATTAGTTCTTATTGTCGAATGCGAAATGCCTTTTCCGTCAGTGTACCGAATGTCTCGTCTCGTGGGTTTAATACTCGTACTTCGGATATCTTCAAATTTTCGAAGATGGTATACTTAGGAGGAAGCGTCAGCCTAGTCAGTTGGGTTGCATTGAAGGTGAGCTCCTGATTTCGGTTTTCTGGATTTCATGGTTGGGAATGAATAGTGAAGGAAGCTTATCTCTGTAGAATGCGTTGTATCGAGCTGATTGTGCCGCCAAGGTACAGTTTTCGAGGATTTCTGATGCGTCGGATCATCTGAGGAATTCATCGCCCGCATCATCTTCGATGCCGTGGGCATTTCTCTGGTCCATGTTGAAACCATATTTGCTTTTGCTTGCTGGAGCCGTTGTGAGTGCACTCTTGGTGGCTTGGCTAAACATAGAGATTCCACGATTACTTGGATCCATCATCGGTGTAGTTTCGAAATTTATCGTCAACGAACGACCCATCGCTGGTGAAGTTGCTGATGCTTCAAATACTCCTTTCGGGGCCGAATTTTTTGCTGCCATTAAAGCCCCCGCCCTGCGCTTGCTGGCCGTATATGCATTCCAAGGTGAGCAAGTGCGTTTTTTCCTTTCAAATGTTTGTCTTTTTCCGTTCAGACTTATTCGCCCCGAGTAATTTCTTGAATCTCCGTTGAATTCTATGCAGTAAACATGAGCGTGCGGGTTGAAGGCACGGTTTACTAATCGGCGGTATTTAATCAGTCAGACAGCATATTATTCCATCACGAAAAATATTTTTGAAGTTGCCAGCTGTGCTGTCGTAATTTGATTTCGATTTCTGCCTGATCTCATCTGTTCTAAACTCATATAGATTAGCTCGATCGAGTTTCATGCTAATTTATTCTTATGTTTGTGTTTTCATGAAAAATATTTTTAAAATGGACAATCGTTCACTCAAAAAATCAAAGAAGTACTAAATTATCGCGAACTGCCCACCAAATCACAACGGCTCAGTTTTCCTTGCTAGAAATCTATGCGCTCATACCACCTATCGTTCCTTGGGTCCGTTCTGGGGCAGTTTGAAGTCGGGTCGTGCTTTTTCGTAAATAATTTCATGACAATATCCGCCCTCGGCGGAATTCTATGTCTGTGACAGAGTCTTCCATAGGCCTTGATAAATGGTGGCCATACGAGTTAAGAGGTTTGTACAGAGAATCGGATCTCTATTACTGTATTTGCTTTTTTCGAGAGTGCCTTCGCACATCGTATGCATTCAACATTCCGATGTTTTATATTTGTTTCTATCATGAGTTGAGCTCTTGAACAATAGCTGACATTTTATCTGTCAAATCCATGCGACTTTAATACGGTACTTTAGTTGCTCGGAATAGCCCTGCTGTCCGTGTGCCGTGTGATGTCCCTTGAAATAATATTGGTGTTTTATCGTTTCACTGATCGAAGTATTCATAATATACCACTGTATGCAACTCCATGGTAATACAAATTTTTAACATGTCCAACACAAAAAAATCCCCTCAGAATCTCACCTTGAGATGAAGCAATAACCTGCAAAATGCAGCTTTGCTGTAGGTTCCGAAAGCTGCATAATATCAATGTGACAGAATTACTGTACGTACATTTTTTCCTCAGATGGAATGTCTCCAAGTCAAATTGTCCGTACGTTAAGGCATCTACAGTATATGCCAACACCACACTTTATTTGATTTCTTTATCTCCATGTTAGAATATTACATTTCAAATTATTAACAGCTGAAAAATAATTATTTAGGAATGATTTGACATAGTACTGTAGTACAGTACGTGTACTACAATTCCACCATTTTCTAAGTGCATTAGCATCAATGGGTAGTTGGTACAACAAGAGCGCCTAAAAAAATCGGTGTTTTTATTCCGTACCATCCCAACATGTTTTGCGTAAATTTAATACAAAAATGTTGTGCTTTTCATAAACAGGTGCATCACCAAGTTTTTTTTTTGGCAATTTTAAAATTTAATTGTGCGTTGTATGCAAGTCACAGCTGACATTTCATCTGTCAAATTTTTTCAAATTTTAAAAATGCAGTTACAAACTGTTGATTTGCTGCAATCTTTTTCTGTTTGATTTTCCTTTCCTCCATCTTATTTGATGGAAATGTGAATTTTCACCGAATTGAAAATCCAAATACTGTACAGTACTTTCAACATCCAAGTAAAAGCGTCCTGAGTTGCTTTGTCTAAGGTTTAGCTTCTTATGTGCTGCTGAGCACTGATCTTGAGATATACTACACCTCCACAATCAACAGGAGATGGGTCCTTCGTGATACAGACCAAGGACAAGTTTTGAAAATCAATGAAGCTATCACTCTTTCATCCATCTTTCTCCAGCAATCCCTGGTGATTGTAACAAGATCTAGTGCTCATTATCTGCAGTTTACATTGCTTCATTTTTCAATCGCAAGTTAAACCAACAATTTGGTATGTTTCTAAGTTTACTGTGATTATGCCTTCATAAACATGAGTTCAGTTTGTCAGTTGGGAGAGTGCTCATGACACTGCTAACTGTCTTACCAAACTGTTTTTCATCACCTTCATAAGGAGATCTTTAATAATTTCAAGTTTACCTGCCTTCTGACTATATCAAGGAATTGCCAATTTCTCAGTGAATGTTCAAATCTCCAAAATTTAATGTTTTATGCTTCAAGTGAGCAAAACTCTAAAGATACTGTGCGTTCAGTGAAAGTAAAAATGCTAAGAATTTCAAAAGCTTCTGAAGTTGAAATACTCAGTTGTATGAAATACATAGTTTTATGTCTCAGTATAATTCTGAAAATATTCGTATTATGTTGGACATTTAACTTCGAGTGAACTTTACTCCCCATTCCAACACATTTTTTTGGAAGACATGCTTATTTGAAATAATTCGAATGATTAAAAAAGCCATTTCTTGACCGGAAAAACAATCCAGCATAAATAATGTAAAAGCAATTATATTTGGCTTCAATTTGAGCATGGATCTTGATCTGCTACTGTACATTTTGAAATATTCTGATTTTTGGGTCTTTGAATATTTGATTCATGTCAGCAAGGGTTATCTTTTCACTAGTGTTAGTTAAACAATCATGGCGCATGTCTTACGGAAGGTCATGTGGTACCTAATTAAGTACTGTATAATGGCTCAAGGTATTGTGACACCTCCCACTTCGTCTAATGCCAATGAATCGAATGCACGTTTTATATAGCATCAAACAATGCTTTCAACCTTTCGTTTTTTCAGCAAACATGACGTACATCTACCTCCGCATGCTGTCATCGCTTGGCGAACGAGTCGCTTCTGATCTCCGTCGTAAATTACTCGACTCCCTGCTTGTGCAAGATATTACCTTCTTCGACGATCATCGGACGGGAGACCTAGTGAATCGCCTCACCACGGATGTGCAAGACTTCAAAAGCAGTTTCAAGCTCTGCGTGTCTCAAGGACTGCGGAGCTCAGCTCAAGCTCTCGGCTGCCTTGTGTCCGCCTACTTCATCTCTCCGGAAATGACGCGCATGATGGCGTTAGTGGTGCCCGCTATGATCTTGGTCGGTGCTACGATAGGATCATCGCTGAGGCGGTAAATCTCGTTTTATTCTCCGCTCTTTTCATACCTGATAAATGCTTATCCAAATTGTCGGGGTGGAAACCGTTTAGGCTATCGAAGGAATCGCAGGCTCAAATAGCAAAGGCGACGGCCGTGGCGGATGAAGCCATTGGGAATATTCGTGTCGTTCGAGCCTTTGGCATGGAGGAACAAGAGAAAAGTCTGTACGCACAAGAAGTTGACAAAGCAAGGGAATTCAGCGAAAAGCTGGGTCACGGCATTGCTCTATTTCAGGTGAGTAACTTGAACATTATCTTTTCATAGCTCCAAGCTGTACGGCGTTGTAAAGGTGCTCGCGCAGTTATATCAACCGTATTGCCAGAGTATTATAATTTATCGGGTACCTGTTTGTTTTCGTTTTTCTGCCGAGCCTCATAAAAATGTCCGCAGGAAGGAACCTTGATTAATTAGGCGTCGATAAAAAAAAACAGAATTTCATGTCAGGCAACAGAATAACAGCTGCCTACATGATTTTCATTCCGAACGCTTCGTTCCCCCGGATTAATGACATTTGATTCGGGGACCGACTGTGAATTAATGTGGAATTCATGTTATTCGAAGCTCATCATGGTAAGCATCGAAAAGCGAACTAAATATTTGAAGTGAAAATATTTATTGTTTGTGCAGTATTTCCCATGATCTCATGGAATGCAATTGAAGCAAAAAAGAACTACAGTAATTTACATACCACGAGCTTTTCAGAATAAGTTTGTGAGGGCATCTGGGAAATATGCTGCTCTTCAAGATTTGCAGGGATGTCGTTAATACGATATCAAGCCTGGTCAACGTTAAATATATTTTTAAATTCTTTATTGAAACTTCTATATTTCAATTATCCGTGATAATTTCATGTTTCGGGTGAAGTCACTCTGTCACTAGCCCTATTAATCGAGGTTCTGCAACTTTTTGTAAGATTCGGAGTTGTAGAAGTACTGTACAATAGTTCCAAGAAGAATTGAAAACGGTTTTTTTTTTTCAATGAGAAAGAGAAATTGGAGTTTCACGACCGTGGCACTCGGGTCAGGAAAGCAGGCCGAATTGAGTATCCGGAAGCTCGAAAATCGATTCTCGCGATTGCGTTGCAGATCGAAGGGTGTTTATAGGGTGTCGGCAAGGAACCAGGCACGCCCCTCTTCATAGTGGTCTCCCCATTATTTTCCCCCACAGCGTGAGTGGGGTTGGATAGGGTTATCGATTGTCGGCTCTTTTTTTTTTTCTTTTTCTGTGGATCGGTGAACGCAAGTGCTTTATTGTAGAATCTGAGCATTGCTAGCTAGATCGCCTAGATCGCTGCTCAGTTGTCTTGGTGGTACGGACCGGCTAGAACAACAACGCCTTTCTCGTAGAGACCGATGGGGATATTCATGGACTTATTTCTTGGACATGGTGGGTCTTCCGTTCGCAGCCGTGATTTATAATTGCTCTCCCCATCCCTCGTAAATCAAAGCTTAGTGGGAAATCTGCGGATATTTTCATCCGTATAGATCTTGAGATGTTCGAATGACCATGAGGGTTGGATTTATTTCTACCGGGAGGGGTGTCTTGATTTCCGTGTGTAGGTCAATTTTCACCATTTTCAACAGTATTTGTATCAGAAATGAAGCAGTTTAGTCCACAGATCATTCGAAATTATTGTCTTGATCATTTCCTGTCGCTCCATTTTCCCTAAATGTTCAACTGTCTGAGTTTTCTACCGTGGATTATACAAGGAAAGAACCTGCATGTAATACATCATCGCCTATTACTGATTCAATTAAAGCGTGATTCGAAGTTGAATACTGGTATACAGTATGAGTATACAATTAGCTATAAGGTCTCGGTACAACCACCTCCTCAAAAAATTGTCGAACTTTCTCGAGTTGTGCTTAGATTAATTAGGAGTGTTAAGTAAGTACGGGTATTCGGAGATGAATGAGGATAGACATTTTTGGAATGCTTCGCTCTTAGCTCAAGGGAACTGAGTGATATGTTTAAATACTGTACTGTAGTATACGTATGAAAAATTTTTAAAATGTTTTAATAAACTGCAACAAACCAATGCAGTAAAATCTTTTGTGATGATTTTTGTAAATATGTTGCCCACTTCAACGCAGTTCTCAAATGAACATTCTGTACTTCTTTTCTGAATCACGTAGTATAACTTACATGTTACCAAAGTCTGTTGTAACAAATTAATCGAATTTGGTGCTTCTCCCGTTAAGAAATTTTTATTTCTTCGCACAATCTTCCATAAAATGAAGGTCTCTGAAATTATCCTGGCCCCAAGAGTATTGCTGCGGAGTCCGTTCGGACAGTGCTTATCGCGAGTGCAAAAGCGGATGCTTACATTTTTTCAAGTTTTGTAAACCTTAAGAACCAACAGTTCATGACAAGAGGATATCATGACATTGAAGGCCTTGAATCAGTTCCTGAGCAGAAATGCGTCCGATGCATTATGAAGGTTTGAAAGAAAGAAACTTCAGTGTGCTCATTCCAAAATATTCAACTTTTCCTCCTCATAAAATCGGGATGACGGAATACGACTCCATGTCAGCTTTAAAAACATGGTTCTGTAAGTGAGCTTCCTCGATTTTAAGTGAACGATCTTGTAACAGAATTTTCAGGATAACAAAGGGTTCTCGAAACTTGCCCGAGTTCGCAATGACAGAATTTTACTGTGGAGCGATTCAATTGTTCAACAGTAGATGCATTCACTTAATTCATATAAATTATAGTAGAGGAGAGGGAATTCTTCAAGTGAGCGAATTCTTTCTTTCACATAACTTCTGTTCCCATGTGCGTGAAAACGCGTGTTTTCTTGATGCTCTCGTTTCACCATCCTTTCACAAAACCAATCCAGTCCACAAACGGTGTTTTTAGTTGCTCTTTCGCTCTGCATTTCGAAGGAAATTCTTGACGTCCGGCGACTATAACTGCATGTAGTGGAGTTTTTTTTTATTATTTTTTATTATTTTTTAATCATGACTCAATGTCATGCCGAGGGGAAGCATAGATCATTGCTGGAAAAGACGGTGTTTGGAAAAGAAGGAAGGGGAGAGCGGACTCGGGTTTGGATTGCCTTTGCAGGAGCATCTGTGCGCCATTAATCATTTCACCAGCGTGTATTCCAGTGGTGGGGAATTTGCCCGTTTTTCACTTATGTGAACAGCAAATCGCAGCGCGCTTGATCTCCCTGGGCGGTCTGCGAAGCTAGGAGAAAGAAAAAATGAACGGATTGAATGCCTGTTTTTTATTTTTTTGTTCAAGTCGTTTTTCGCTTTGCCGTGTGAAGCGATCTTGTGTTTCTTCAATACTTCGAGATGGGAATAAAGACGTACTTGCGTCTTGAAGATTTCTAGGGTCTTGAAAGTGACGCATACTCTCTCCTGTTGATATTATGCCAGGGGCTGACAAATTTCGGGCTGAATTGTTTGTCGCTGGGGATACTATTTCTTGGTGGGTCTTTGGTGTCGACGGGGCAGCTCGGCGCTGGGGATCTCATGTCATTCCTGATGGCGACGCAAACCATCCAGAGGTCCCTGGGACAAATTTCCCTCATCTATGGGCACTACGTGCGAGGATCCACGGCAGCCGGTCGCGTTTACGAATTCCTGGATGCCTCGCCCGTTATCTGCATCCGCGGTGGCCTGATCATTCCGGAACAGCGACTCAAAGGTTAGTGGCCATCAATGAAACGCTCTTGCCCCACCGTCTCATGCTAATAGAATTACTTGCGGATAGACGCTGCATAAAACCTGCTTTCTCGCATGTGCATCTCTCGAGGTCAGCGAATCCTGCAGGTCATGCCCTGCCAGTCTGGATTTTTTGTTTTGTTCAGCCTGCGCTGGTTGCTTGAGTACCGAATCTGGCTGTTGGCCAAAAATGTTCGTCTGATCTACTCAAGTGCCATCGTGGCAATGACAGCCGCATCCGCTGTACATGCTCAGGCCGAGCTTGCACAAAAATGTCTTGCATGGCACATCCAATGCTACTACTTTCCTCCTGACGTTTTCTTCCGTCGCTACCTGATGTCTCGGTTTGCGCGGATCTTCGATGACTTTCTTTTGAACTGAACTGAGAAGACCTAAAGCACCCAACGCACGACAACTGTATCCTGAATACTGTAAATATTGTCTGAATTAACGAAATTACCGAGTTAAATGCTTGTTGCAGCCAAAAAATCGCGTGAACTTCTCAGTTTCCTGTCATGAATTTTTTGACTGTGGGATAATGCGATGATCGATCCCATGGAACGTTTCGTTCTTGAAAATTTTTTCCGCGCGTCTTCTGTTGTAATAACTGGTTTCACGGTAAAGTCTTTAGGTCGCCAATAATTGTCCAGCCTGATCCGTATTCAAATCAATTTAAATTTTGCGTGAATTGTGATGGTCCGGTTCCTCTGTTCCGAAACCGTGAATCGATTTTTAAAGCATTCGAACCGATTAGTGCGATATGATGAACGCATCTCTCGGGGCATTTTCATGTGGACAATCGCAGCAATACTGTGCTGCATTAGGAATCTTCTTCTTTCACATACTGTATTGTCTATCTAATACCAATACGTTTGAAGAGTGGTGGAGTATTACCGTGGTACCACGATGCAGATTGAATGAGGTGTACAATTTCAGTGTCGGAAGCCCTCTTCCTCAAGTAATCAAGTATCCACCCTTCTTCTTTCATTGGCCGTCGAAATTCGGATTATGCAGCGAACATAGATTCTCTGAGCGACAGATAATTCAAGATGTTCTCTGCGTAGATTGCACCGCTTTTTCTTGATGCGCAGGTAGCATGAGTGCAGTGGGTCAATCCACCTGTTCAAATCAGTTCATTGTTTTTATCTATATCTTCTGTATCGAGGGAAGCGTTAATAATCGTTAGCGAAAGTACTCTTATCATTTCCTGTCGGGGTATCTGCGTGTTCGCAGAAAGATTACACGCGAAGCTTCCGTATCTCGCGGAGGAGATCGTTCTTGCATTTTTTATTCGGCCTTCGAGCCGAAAACACGTTGAGCCAACTAGCGGGAGAGGTTCTCTAGAGCGGCGATATTATTGCAAACAAAAAAGATCTTTCTTTCTGTAAAAGGCAGAGTGCGTGTTTTAGTTGGACATGCCGGAGTACAGAACGTATGTTTCATCGAAGAGATTCGTGGTAATCGGAATTGCAAGCTGTTCCGTTCCCGTTGTTTATCCGTGGTGATTGACCACTCGTGCTGACCCAAATTTATCGTAGTATAACGGAGGATTTTTTCACATGATCTATGAAATTTTCGCTGTCATCGAACGCATGCACATGCTGATGTTTATGAAGATACAAACTATTCGCGAGGAATAGCTGATAGATCAGTCAACTCTTCCTCTTTGAAAGGCGAAACCGGACACCTGCCCACTAAAATCTGCTTTGGATTATCGGCTGATTTTTGTTTTTGTTTTATCTTTCATTTTTGCATAAATGTATAATTTTATACCTCAGTTATGTAAGGAATCTACCTCTGATTCTGTTGATGAAAAAAGATTGTGGCGGATTCTCGGCGTTAAGTGAGTGGGTTTTTTAATTTCTCACACAGTTGACCAGAAACTGCATCAGGAGAAGAATGCAATTACTTCGATATGTTTATTCAATGTTTCTTGTCTCGAGGAAATTGGTGTCCCGTGGGTTTCGATTACATACGAGAAAAAGGAGACTAAGTCATAGGAAGTTCGAGAAAAATTGGAAGGGAAGAGCAGCTCCAGGCGTGAATACTTCACAATTCCCAGGAGCGGTTTTTTTTTTTTCCTTTAAAAGCCTGTGAAGGAAACCTTTTGGCTATGAGTAGGTAGCCCTGTTGATTATGCACAACTAGTACACGAGGCATTCTTCCTTCAGCAAATATACTGGCTTGAACGGCCAGGAATTTTAAAAGGAAGTGAAGCAAGGATTTCCCCTTGACAGCGTGTCAGTTTCGTCTGATGTGCGAAGAATTATACCGTCAGGTGACGGTAAATTATATCGCGGACGAATGATTGTTCGGAGGTCGAATTTCTTATTTATTACAGCAAATAACCATTGAAGTATTGCTGATGAAGCAGCTTCGCTGGCCGCGGACCAGTAAATTTGCCGAAATATTTTTTTTTTTCATGTGACGGGTAGAAGCTTCTTCGCCCACTTGCAGCAACTTTCAAATCACAGGTTTTAACTCAAGAAGACTTTTTTCAGAACCTCACAAACGTTTTCGAAATTCTTTCAAGTTAAACAAAACAACTTGTTCTGTTAAAAAATGTCATCTCGTCATTCGTTAGAACGTAAATTAATTTGAAAATTTGTTCGTGCACCAGGAGGATTTTTGGCAGGACAAAACACGTGAGCCAACTTTTTGTATGATTTTCTTGGCCACAAAATTCCTTGATAATTAAGTGAAGCTATCAATAGACGAAGTCTTATATCTTGAAATTCTTGAAATATAGCTTGATACATTTGTCGAAGGAAATTGCTTTCGGTGATTTTCCTACTGAAAGCAATCAGCCTACATAGAATTTTATGAAAATTCCCAGACTAGCATGGAAACGAGAATGTTCCGCTTCATTCAATACACCTGCTAGCATAGAGAGTCTAGCGAACTTTTAAATCTTATGCCAAAAGAAAGTGCCCCATCCTCAAAATCTATGCTCATCATATCTGACTGCTTGCCGTTATTTTGGCTTGATAAAGTAAAACATCATTATGTTGGTGATGACTTCAGACTCATTTTTGTATGATGGACACATCTCTGAGATATTTAATATGAATGAAGGGCTTGGGAGAAATTTTGGAATTGGTAGCTGGATGAGAGAACGTTTTTCAGTAAATGAAAAAAAAACTGTCAATCTCCGTTATATTCCAGGAAAAAACCTTTCACTATTCTCAATCACTTTGAAATCGGATACAGAGGATACGCTTTTATGGATAAATCATGACAGATTCCTTGCAGTACATGGGAATTTCCTGTGGACTGGCAAAAAAAAATAAAAATAAATTGCGGACCGGCACCAGTTTGCCGAACACCGGTTGAGAAACACTTGTCTGTTTAATTTTGATACTGTGGATCATCAGTATAAACTATCAGTTACTATCAGTCACAAGCTGAAAAAGTTCCAACAGCTTGTGACATGAATGGAGAACTCTCATTGGAAATTGGAAAGTTTTCCCTTATGCAGTAAATCGATAACTTATGAAAATCTGAAAAAATCCCAGATCCTTACAATTGCATGGGCTACATGATATACAGTAATTTTTTTAAGTGATATCTAGTCTAGAAATACCGAAGGCCAAGCGGAAGTGGGACAACCCTCGTAAATATCCTCAGTGCGATAAAAGTCTTGCTTAGCGTGTTATGAAGCAGATTTTTTTTTTACCGTAGATCTCCGGTGTTGCCCGTCCAGACTAACCAATTGTGCGTGTATCAAACAACATGTGTTTAATACGCCGTACAGTGAAGTACCGTACTGCTGTGTGACCATCTTGCATCTCATTGGATATATACTTCACTGCACTCGCTTGAAGCGTTGCAATATTGCTCGTTGTACGCATATTTGCGTGAGATAATTGTTAATTTTTCACTTGAAGGAAGAACAGTGGATCTTGTCCCATCATGCAGATGTATTTTTGTGTTCTCTCCGGATGCTCCCTCGAGGATCTAAAATTCTAAATGATTGTAGTATCTCTTCATGACGCGTAAGTCACACCCCTTGATCGTACCAATCTGGATACGAATGTCTACACCTTTGAAATTGAGATACTGTACTACTGTAGATATCGTACAGGTTTATTGTTCAAAAATGTGCGACACCCAAAGGATTCTTGTAATTACCCTGGAACTTGGATTTTTTAATCGGCGGAGTTACAAAACAACTTGCACGACAAGGGCTTGACAAAATTGACCGTTTGAGCTTTTCATTGTGTGCGATGATATCCCGAAGAGAATGATGAAAATTACTGTATAATCGGTCAGTAGTTGGAATGTAATTTTTCTTGACATTTATAAAAATACAGTACGTGCAATATGACGTTTTTTTCAAGACCGTTCTTGCACTCAACCTGTGGATTATCAGTATCCATTCATTCACCTGTTCATGTTATCGAAGGACTCAGACCAGCTGGGACAAGTGTAGTCAAGTACTGTATCATGTATTGTTCGATGTTTCTCCTTTGGCCATATTGCATTTCATTCAGTGTATGCTGCTGATTTAGCTGGACTTTCATTCTTAACTTTGAAAATTTTGTGAGTAATTCTTAGAACCATGAGCATACCTGTCATCAGAATTAAATGGTATGGAATCAACTAGTCTGGATGTAGGTAGAATCACATCATACGTCAATTTACCCGAAGTACCCCATGCAGCTGTGTGTAGCAATCCCCTTTCGTTTTAGTCTGTTGACTTTGAATTGGGTCAACTGGGTTGCACTAATTTAATCTAATGCCCCATCCCCCTAGTCTTTGAAGTACAGTATTTGAGCATGCCATCACTTGGGGCTCATTGCTATATTAACGGTGTGTACAAGAAGTGATATTACAAAACTATTCGTAGACACGTATATCTTCCGTCTTGCGTATTTATACACAAGGAATACGGTAATTCATATCTGCAGCCCCCAGCAACAGGAAAACGAGAAATTTTGTTGTTTTAAACTGATGACAATTAGCCACGACAAGCACGGAAGTTTGAACACGGAATAGATATACTGTAATGACGTTTTAATCAGAGTAGAGTAGAGTTAGTCGCTTATTCCGCGGTGTAGAATTAACGTCATATTTTGTAAGTCAATTGATTGAGCTTAAATTCGAAACTTCCTTCAATATCATCATACGTTATACCTTTCAGGAGGTATCAAATATTCTTGACTCGTATACCTTGCACACATGCAGTTGAATATAAAGTAGAGCTGAATTCAAACTCTTCGACTTATTATTTTTCTTGAATTTAAATTTTCATGGAAAAATTAAATTTTCACTTCGGCGAGTTGTTGCACTCGTAGAATTGTCACTCTGTAGGTCATTGTTGTGCCATTTTTCGAATAATGCCCGGCGGTGTAGATGTAGAACTTCGAAGATTTTCAGACATTGATGAAGTCGGTGTAATTGAGGCGTCTGTCCGCCACGCGCAGCAATTTTCTTTCGTTGGAAATCCTACAACCGCTGTTTTTATGTTATACAGTATTTGCTGTTTTCACACAAGATAATGAATGGCTAGCCCGTTGGATAATTTATGCATCCTCTAGACCTGAGAAAATGGCAGGTCTCGAGAGACGTGTCGTTGTTGTTTCTCAACTCTGGTCCGAATTTCCGTGCATCATTTACTGTTGGGACGTTGCTGAAAAGTTCTGCGACATTTTAGCCGAAGAGCTGGCGAGTCCTGGGCTTGGCAGTCCGACGAGAAGTTTCTCAACTCTGGATAACTTGCGTTCGGCTCCAGTGATCGGAAATCTCGCGATGCGGCTTTATCGATAGCTTGTATCTAGCACACATTTTTAATGATTCGAAGGGCCTTGGGACTTTGTGAGGTGGTAGACGCGCTTTTGCTCTTCTTGCATGGAAGGGCTTGTGTGAAGAGCAGAAGTGACCGGCGAAACAACTGAGAAGCTAGGGAGTCCATTCATCTTTTCAGAAGCGAAGGCTGGCTGTTCAGTATTCCCACGGCGCTTTGTCTAAGCCGCTCTGGAAATGAAAAGAACGCTCAAGGCAGAAATTTCGTCCGACGCACCCGTTCGTGCTCGAATCCAGCCGTCAATACAACATTGAAACTGGTATATTCCACTTATTCAGGTGCAGTTCGGTATACAGCAGAAGTTTCTAAGCCTGAAGATCTCTTTTTCTTGGATTCTTGGACGAAACACGTGGGAATATATGTCTTGACGGACGGTGGATTCCGCCGCTGCTTACGCGGATATCAGGATGATGTAATTAAGTGGAGTGCCCCATTATGACTGCTACACTGGGTTGGGATGAATGTTGTTTCTGGTGTAGGGGTCTAATGACCGGGTCGCCTGAAAGATATGTCTGTGCCGCCGCCTGATGGCGGAGCTCAAGTTTTGAACCCAGCTTTCGCTTCATCGTGCATGATAAGTCCTGTGCGCTAAATTACGGCCACCTCACCGCACGCACCCGTGATTTTTGGGACAGGCGGCCTTGATCACCGTGTGTAGCTGCGATATCGCCTTTATTACCGTTATTAGCATCGTGGGCGCGTGAAATGTGGCGAGTGGGATGAGCCGGTGCGCCGGAAGCACTCGAGCGGCGCATCTTCCTCGGGAGATCGTGTGTCTTATTCATCAACCGCTGTCCAATTTCCTGTTCGTGGATACGCTGCCATTCCTACCGTTCTCTCTACGAATCCTTCAGTGCTTCCGTGCAGCGAGTACTTTGTGCGTTGACTTGCAGTGAATTCTTTCGTTCATTCGAAAGACACATGGTACACTTCGTCAGTTGGTGTGTGCGTCGATGGTCTTCGTCAAAGCTTTGCGCTCTGGACCCAAACTTGATAATGCGTATACTCTATCCGAAAAAAAAACGTATACCTTATTTACTCGAGTGCCACGCCCCCTCGAGTTAGACTCGCGCCTTGATTTTTGGCCCAAAATTCTATCGCCGCGTAAGACCCTCACCCTAGTTTTTGTTGACTGAAAATTAAAATTTGTGCATCCAATAATATTTTTTTTACAAAACAACCTTCTACTGTACATTTTAATTTTACCTTTTGATTTTGACGAATGAAAGAGCATGAAGAATTGAATTAGGATTGGCATCAAATAGGATTTCTATCAATATTTTCTTCTGAGACTAACTTCTGACTTGAACCAACGTTGCTTCATGATATTTTGTCTCTTAGAAATTGTTACCCGTATACCACGCGTATCCGACTTTTCCGCGTCGATTCTCGCGAAAAAGGTGCGCGTGGTCCTCGGGTCAATGCGGTATAACCGAAATCGAAATGCATTTATGGCTTCCGTATCTTGTCTATTTCATGAACAAGAAATAATCTGATTGATGTTCAGGTGTGTACACACCTCATCACAAGCTGCCTGATATTTTTTCCTTCTGAAGCTCTGCGGTTCTTACGCATCACGTTCATTTACACTTCAAAATAAAGAATCGCATGGCTCAGAGTTCCGTCGCAGAAGAAACGTTGTAGAAAGGGTCCCTCCAGTCAATACAAACTGTCGAGAAACTCTGTCGTCTAGCTTTCTAGCTCGTCTAACTCGTGTACAGATGCAGCAGCCTGTCATGGATTTGTTTCAGTCAGCAGACATGCAAAGAATTAAACCTTAGTATCCCTGTGTTGGTCGATATCGCTCTAGGAGGAAGGGTATATTCATAATTTGCCGTCATAGCATCTTGCCAATTTTTCTTGCTTTGTTGCGCTGCTTTCGGGAAGCTTCCGCTGAACACATGAAATATGCTGTGACGCTTTTGAGATCACATTATGTACTTCGTGGAGTGGGCAGTTTCTTTTTACATAGCTTCTTATTGGTCCGAGTTACCGCATTTCCTCCAGATGTGGTTAGGGGAAAGATTTCTGGAAGAGAGAAATTTCCCTTTCCAGGAGGAAGCTCCTTGATAGAACACCTCTTGAAGCTGGACTACGTGCGGCGCTTCATGTAAAGACCCGTGTACTCCCCAACGCAACAAAATCTTCGTTAGATTAAAGCCTCGTGCTGTCCGTAATGCACGAGCGAATGACTTCCTAGTTTTTTTGTCTTGTGTGAAACAAGGTATCGCGAATTCATGCGATGTGCTGAATAATGACACTCAGAAAAATTAAAACGGATTGGAAGTCCTGGCAACCTAGTCCGTGGCGTGCTCTGCCGTTGGCTGAAGATCACCATCGCTACGATTTTTTTTGGCGCTCTGCCAAATCATGCTTTCATATCTGTGGGGTAATTATATTTGATTGGGTGGAGATAGTTTTTTTCGCCTTCAGAACTATACTGTATCACATTATTAGATAAACATTAATTTGATCAATTTTGGGAGTCGGTGTGCTGCCAAAGTCATGCGAAAAATTTGCACCCCGTTCGGAATTCTGCATCTCGGTTTGAGCAAGAATAAAAACCACGCAATTCCGATTTCCGAGTTATGGTTCCTTAAAGAGTGAATTTATTTTGGCAGTTTCCGTGGTGCTTCGATTGAATCTAGAATTTCGCGGGGTAAGACCGAAGTTTTTGTCACTTCATCGTCTTCAGATTATGCCGACGCCTTCAACTGTGGAAGGATTTGATTACGTTTGCACATGAATTTTCAAGTGAGGCTGAACGAGTTCAGGCGCGGAAAGCGCTCGAAGCGGCTTTTTGAGGATCCCGAGTTCTTGACGCACTTATGTTCTTTGCACCAATGCTTTTTGTTTTGTTAAAACGAGCTTTTTGCTTGGGGGCGTTGCCTGTGAGAATCTCGCATTATTCACTGTCATGCACGCTTCGTCTTGTGTTTCCCGTAACCATGAATTAACTTCACATATAACTTTCACGAAGCCGCCGCTGTTTTCCCAAATCATGAATACGCAACCATTCATTCTGCTCATTCCGAAACTTCATGGTGTTATGTTGCATTCGTGGGGAATTTTATTTTACTTCCTTCCTTTAATAATGATTCGATTATACTGATTGCTTGAATACTGTACACAGCTGGAGTTTCATCGAATAATTGAAGTATCTGCGACTTCAATATGGAATCTTTCCCATTTTCATGCTTATTGTAGATAGAGAATCCCGAAGAACTTCGAGGTGAACATTTAGAGATTAAGAAAACTCTCTATCAGACCTCGATTCCTTCGCCGGGAAGCTCATATTTTAGCTTGACATTGGACTGGTCGTATTTTTGCGAAAGGCTCTGGCGCGAAATAAACGGATAAGAATGAAATAATCGTGTGAGATTCACTTAGATCGTCGGAGCCCGCGGCAGTTTTGTTCTTGCTAAAAATACCGCCCTGTAATTTGCGCTGGTTCGGACCTTAATTCTGACCCCAGATTGGAGATTTTATTCATGAGGAAAATCTGGAACAAAATGATTCTGGATGAAATTTTCGTGGGATAAGAGGAGGATTATGTCACGGAAAACACTGTCGTTGAAATGGTGATCATACAGATTTCATTATTGAAATATTCTAAAATCGTTGCCGTAAAATCAATGCGTTCTCTTGTAAATGAAACGCTTTGATTTGCTTGCTTTGATCGCGGTTCAAGGACGGGATTTGTCTGGGAAGGAAACGTGACATGGATTGATCGCAAAAGAGAAGGCTGAAGGTCTGTTTCGAATCATTGCAGGCTTAGTGCAATTCGAAGATGTTGGCTTCTCGTATCCAAACCATCTGCGAAAGAACGAGTTGGTATTGAAAGGGCTGTGTCTGGAGCTGAAGCCTGGACAGACGGTCGCATTGTGTGGACCCTCCGGGGGCGGCAAATCTACGATAGCAGCTCTTCTAGAGCGATTTTACGACACCAGCGAAGGACGGGTGTTGATTGACAATGCGGACATCCGAAGTCTAGATCCGACGTGGTTGCGGACGAATGTGATCGGCTACATAAGCCAAGACCCAGTCTTGTTTGCGACCTCTATCAAAGAAAACATCAGGTATGTTGACTGACGATAGCAGCGAAAAGTTTCACTGATTCAAATGGCAGCATTCTCAATCTCCTCGCCTTTGGCTGAAGTTAATTTTGATTAACCGTTTAAAGAAAGGCGTTTTGCCGGATTCCAAGTAAAATTCATCATTATGTACAGTACATCATCTGAAAAGTACTGTTGTTGAAACACAAAGCTTTCATCTCAGCCTGTTTACGGCTGGAATCACTTAATGCCTTTCGTAAAACCTAAAACGCCTTGGTCGTGTGCATTCATTTTTGATCATTCAATTACAATATGAGACTCCAAGGTTGTTTGATTTGATCTGGAATGCTGTTTGTAGAAGAGCTAAGAGTGGCAGTAGTCACTGGAAAAATTTAATTGCAACAGATAGAACTGGAGCGGTCAATTTTTACCTATTTTCATTAAGAAAATTTCATCTCGTGGAGCGATGGTGAAGGTGCGGTTCGCCGAGAATAATTGAAGGTCGTCTCTCGTTAACTAAAAAGAAAAACTGTGCAGATATTTTGAACAGTACACGAATTTATTTTTCACCGTGCGAACAGGTTTAACCTTGCTCCGGTAATAAAGTAGCGAATGTAAGGAAATGAACCTTATAAAATTCAATTTTTTGTTTACCCTCCGTGGAAGGGCTGAGAGAATGAACGGCGAAAAAATTATTTTCAAGCTCATTTCAAAAAATTTTTAGAAAGAGAAAGTGCGATGCGATTATCGGAATTTTCCTGCGTTCACTAAGCGAAGTGATCAGTCACAGCTTTTGAGGTAGTCATGGGACAGGTTTACTTTTTGACGGAAGAATAATTGAATGGCTGATTCCTTTTAATTTTAATCTGTTCGGTGATTTGGAAAATCATGGGAAGAGTGATGATACCAAGCAAGACAAGTTCATTAACGTGCCGAACATTTCGAGCATAGTGCAATGAATAAAGGAGATAATGAACAGTACTAAATTCGTAAATTTAAATAGCTCATTAGCGCCTTGAGCCCTTCAAGCACAGTCCTAAATAAAGCGCTAGAAAAGACCATATTTTTAATAGATCACCTTTCAAATGAGTCAATTAAAAAGTACCCTGCTGGAATTTCGGCAAGAAATTAATATACTGTACAGTAATGGTTTCTGGCATTGATTTTTTGGAATCTTCAAATTGGCAGGCCGAAACTTCGGGATTTTCAGTGCCTAAAAATTTGTCACAGAATAGATTCCGTCGTTGTGAAAATGCTTATCAATTAAAATTATAATGAAATCTGGAAAATATGCCGATCTGCAGTTGGAAAAATGTCATTCTATTCTATTTGTTAATGACAAACAAACCAAGAAGTTTGAATGCTTCATTCATGCCATCAGAATTTTATCTGGGGAACTTCTAATAGTATTCCACTAAGATCATCTTAAAGAATTTGAAAAGTGTACGTGCTACTGATCTTTTTTAGATGATCCTCTAATGTTTGCTGGCGTTTTCGAAGATGCGACGACTAACGTTCTAGCGGTTTTCAACTGGCTTCTTCAAGAGCTGCATTCTGTCATTTACAGAAGGAAGTTAAAAAGTATAATTCTCAGTGATTGTTCATCGAACAAGTTTTCGACGCAGTAATTTCTACCGGAAGTACAGTACTTCAAAGCACCCAGGGACACGCATTACAATTGAGGCTCTGTTCTTGGGTAATCTTTAAAAATCATTCGAGAATTATTGGGTTGCATTATGATTGGGAACATTTTTTTGATTTCCCCCGAATTTGGCGTGACCGGCATGTTATTAAGAATCTCTTCAAGAAGGATGAGTGCACGCAACCTTCTTTCGTCTGGAAATCCCCGCGGCGCGGGAAACTTATTTGAAATTTAATTAATTATTAACTTATTTGAATTTAATTAATTATTATTAATTATTAATAATTAATTAAATTTCAAATGAGTTTAGGGGGAATGGGATGCATATTTTAAAACCGAAAATCAGTTGCTGCAAAGGAATAGCCATGCCTCATTTCGTTCTCTCGGTGATTCGTAAGAATTGAAAAACATATTGTAATGTTCGGTGATTTTTTTCCATCGGTGAAAATTAAGAAGAAGCTCCTGTTCTGCACAAAACTTGCCTAGGACCATTATGAACTTTCTTTTTCTTATTTGGTTAGCATCTTTGAATTTTGTCAGTTGATAAAAGCCGTAAAGACAATCACTCGGACACGTTGGGAATTGTATTGTACTTTTCATTTGAGTGTCGTGTGAAGCAGTGTAAACCATTCGACTAAATTTTAGATACGGTCGTCCATCAGCATCAGAAGCTGAAGTCATGGAAGCCGCGAAAATGGCGAACGCTCACGATTTCATCTCGAGTTTTCCTGACGGTTACGACACAATGGTCGGAGAACGAGGAGTTGCGTTATCGGGTGGACAAAAGCAGCGCATAACAATTGCAAGAGCCCTGTTGAAGGATCCGAAGATCCTCATTCTCGACGAAGCAACCAGTGCACTTGACACCGAGTCCGAAGCGATAGTTCAACAGGCGCTTGATAAAGCCATGGAGGGTAGAACGACGCTTGTAATTGCCCACCGCTTGTCGACGATCAGGAACGCCGACGTGATAGCTGTTATTGTACGCGGCGAGTTGGTGGAAAGCGGCAGTCATGAAGAGTTGTTGACGAAGCGGGGTGTTTATTGGCAGCTTATTGCCGCTCAGTCCTCCGCTGCGGGTTCGTCCGTCGCCGCGTCCTTATTCAGTTGACCCGGTTAGTCCTTTGTTCGGTTTTTCAGTTCGATTTCTACCCCCCCCCTCCTTCCCGCCCTTCTCAACCAATTTCAACCCGTGATTAATCGACGATTTTCGAAAAACCTCGCTCTTCTGTGTCTTGTTTCTTTTTACCCTCCGTGATTTTTTTTTCACCGCGTTGGCGGTTACTTTCGGGAAATCGGTCATTTCTCAAGTCTGACAGTGCGTGGGTCAACTGTCCTTTTTCGAGATGGTCTCCGGATGATGGTTCGTTTGCGGAATGAACAAGCGCTGTTATAAAAAATTGACGACTTTTATTCCATCCATTCTCCGACAGCGAATGAATTCTCTCGCATTTTCGACGCATCGTGGACACTCAATATTTTTTCTTCACATTCTTGTTCCGAGTTACAGAAGTAGAATTCGAGGTTCAACATTCACCACTGAGCAGTCAGGATTGCTGAAATATTTTTCGTTTCAGAACATACAAAAATTTCTAACTTTTTTTCGCATTTATGTACGGTTTTCGAGTTACAGTTCGTGAGTAAAAATTCTTTCTGGAAATTCCACATTCAGATATCTTGTGATCGCTTTAATTTCCTTGAATAAATTTTCATCTGGGGGAGTGTCGGGTGTGTCGAGTATAGTTGTGCATTATGTGGTACAGTACTTTCAAAAGCCTGCTGTATTCACTTTGGACTCGTATTCTTGAAGCACCCGGGGACTCTGAAACACTTGATAAAAAGCGTCATGCTTTCAAGTCGCCATTTAGACTGTAGCCTGTCGAGGCTCTCGAGGGTAAGCGACGAAACGACTAGCAGCGACAAAATTCATTGTGGCAGAAAGGTTCTGCCGAATGTGCGAATACTTTTCTCGCATCTTGTATAGTGTTGCATCGGATACGAACATAGCTACATATTCCTTCACAGCGACGCATAAAGATGTTCTTGCAAATCTTGTACCGAGATTCCGCGTAGATTGAGGTAGTTTCTCAGAATTTTCAACTGCTTGTTTCTTGACTTGCAGAAATGGACTTTCGAACCCCGTCGGGGGTTCGCAAGATATTGATTAAATGCCAACTTTCCACCTTCCAGAAGTTGGTGGATGTGGCTCGCTCACGCTGGGAACATTTTGAAAATGGACCGGAATGTGATCACCAAAGTGCCGAGTAATCTGAGGAAACCTAGGTGGTTCTGTCCTTGTCGAGATGAAGTGGGCACTCCGGTAGAATAGGTATCCCGCTGCATCGCGGCTGGCTTCTCTTCTGCAACGGACACAAGGTAAGCGTATTAAGTACTTTTCCTCGCGGTTGATCATAAATTTGTACCGCATTCTGAGAGCCTGTCCGAGCTGTTCTTTGGATTGGTTCGTATTCCAATCTCGACTACATCTACACCAGCTTCAGTTTCATACACTGAGGCTTATGTTCCTGCCGAAGTTTCTCGGTGCTAATTAAAATGGTCGACTAACGTTGATCGAAGCACAGTATAACTCAGATTATCTCTGCTAAGAATAAATTCACCTGTATAATGTGTCCAGAAATGAAATGATAGGGGCGGAAAATGTGATTCAACAATAACGAATGAAACTATTCAATGATTTAAAAAAATCAAGGATGAGTATTTCATCGTTTGCACATTTTAAAGATGAAATGCTGAAAAATTCTACGAAGAAAATGCAGCAGTTAAGATGTGGCTGGCCGCCTTGTTTCCTCTGGATGAATCAATATTTGGACGAGGGGAATTCAAGCCGGGATAATTGCATATATTTTTTGTTTGAATCTAAGATTAATGGCATTTGCAATCAGGTATAGCTACGGCTGTCAATAAATTTTGCTGCGAAGTGAGAAAGGTTAGATTAATGTTAAAGTTTGCTTTTTTCCTGGGTAAAATTCTGGAAATGTCCCCCGAAGTGGAAAGGCAATATGGAAGCGCGGGTCCTGGAATACTGCACAACTAGCAGGTCTTGTGTGCAATGTCGCTCGTGGAACTTCAGTTCCATTACGTACAAATGTATCGCTGCGAAGAACCTTTTGAGACCCTCTCTCTATACAGGCCGAATATAACTAACTGCCCCGTGAAAATCATTCGGAATATTCACGAGATTCGCGCTCGAGAAACTTCTGGGGTGTCTCGGTTTGTGTCACAAGTTTTCCAGATTTTACGCTGATGTTAATTCAGGAAAACTGGAAGTGAAGAACTCCCTTATGCGGGCGTCGTGAAACTTTCTCATCAATATGCCAACGAAAGAGTTTTGTTTTTTGATGCTCTGCTTCATTTCGTGGAATTATTTCCAAATATGATGGGGCTTGTGCTGAGGATGAATCTTACATTTTAATTGGATTGACGAACGCATGATCTAATGCATATTAGAAAACATTATAAACGGGGGAAAACATTTTTTGAGATTTCGAGACATTCTTCGTAAACATGCATGAATGTTTTCTTCAATTCCCGACTCTGGCCTAGAAGTGAGTTTGTACGTGCGCAAATTGAGATTGCCGGCTGAATAGACTCTCGTTTTTTTTCGTATCCTCGAATTTCAGAGTGACTGCAAAAACGCTTTCAACAATGTTTTCGAGGTCAAAGCTTGAAGGAAATGTTTACGATAGTCGTTTTCCCCGATGCTCCGTTAGCAGTACTGCATACTTGATCCGTATTTTCGGAATAGAGATCTGAATATCAGTTGAGCCTTTTTGTTGCCACAAAAAGGTGAAAGGACCAAGAAGCGTACTTTGAATTCACTGCCTTTTCGCCTCAAAAATAGCATGAAAATTCACTGCTGGGAATTTCTTTATTCCTCGGACTAATTTCCATCCGATGACCCTGCAGTCAGACGAAAATTGCCCAACATTTCATCAAATTTTGAGCGCAATTGAAAGTGCGACCGCTTTTTGTTCTGTTGCCCGCCGACTTCAATGTTTTGCGGAAATTCGTTTAAATTAGTGTAAAATCTGTGCGAGCAGTAAATTCAAATGGACAGCATTTGCGAAAAAGGTAAAAGATGCTGCTGACGTCACTTCTTTATTCGCTTCAAGGGCGCAATTAATTCAATCACGGAAAGGGGTTACTGTATACGTGTATATTGCTGCTTCTATTCCCATTGGAGTTCACTTGCATTTCTGTCGTATTTCGATTTTAGAGCTTAATTTTTCCTTTCGCTCGGCATTTTTTCTTGTTTTGCATCGAACATTACTGTGGGTTATGCAAAAAGGATTTCGATAACATTTTGTGACGTGAGTAGGAGGTAGAACCGTCTAGGCTCGATTATTCCGAACGATGGCGATCGATGTGATGTTGCTAGTGAGTGGACATTCGGATTTAGCTGTAGATTAGAACCCAGCGAGGGATGAAAGTTGAGGTTCTTACCGGTGAGGACGTGAACTGAGACGGAAGCCGTTAGCGCGTTCGAGGGCTCGCAGCGGAAGATGCCGGAATCCCGGGAGTCGAATTGCTCAATCCGTAACACGCTAGAGTTGGCGTTATTCGATATAGAAAAGCCCTGTCGGTTGTCGTAGTTTATCAGGTTATTGTTCTGGTACCAGAACACATATTGTGGCCGCGTAAGCACGTTGTGGAACTCGCAGGTCAAGCTAAGCGCGCTCCCGAGTTTGATGTACATCTCGGGGCCACCGGCTATCTCTGCCATACCGCCTGAAACGAAAGATTACTGGGAAAATGATGCGATTGGGTGTGCTCGCGGGCCCACTTTCTGCCGGGTACGCACGCAAAACTTCCAAATTGATCAGCTTCGTGACTGGTGGGTAAGACGTCATTTGGCACTCGTACAGGCCCGAATCCTCGTCCTTCACCAACTTGATCCACAAACCCCACGTCTGGCGAATCAAAATTAAATTCTACCGATGAAGTCTCACGACTCAAAAATCGTGTCATCAATGTTGGGAAAACGTTATCATAATATCCTTGAGCTGATTATTTGGATATCCATGTGTCATATACGAGAGGAACTTGGAATAAAACTCTAACTTCGACAATATTGATGCACTTTACCGTATATTATTTAAATGATATATATTGTCATTATACACGCGATATTTAAAAAAATGTATTATCGCGATTATTTTCATTTCGCCTGTGATTAAAGAAAATGCTTGAAATGCAGTTGTCGGTGTGGAGTCTTAAGATGGCTACGTTTTTGGGTAATCCTCATAATAAATAGAATCTTTTGGTTTTTACGAAAGTTTCAATTACAGTAAAATCTCGTTGCAAAAAATACCGTTACAACAAATTTTTCAGTATAACAAACTTTTTTTCAAGTCCTGGCAGAAATCCTATAGGGTACATGTTATAAAAATCTCATTACAACAAACTGCCAATTCCAGTGTAACAAACTTTTTTGAGGAACATTGTATGATTTCTTAAGGAAAAATCCGTAATGGAGGCTGGCACAGTCTCTCATTTCCCATTTCAATAGTGACTGGTGACTGGTTCTTGGGACATGAGGTGGAATCAAGCACAAAAATTCTTCAAAGTTCACCTGAAAATCCTCTCTTTCAGAAAGTATTCTTCTGTTAGCAGGATGGTGGGAGGGGGAGGGGGGGCAGTTAGATGGAAAAAATGAGCACAGCAATACTCATACAGTATTTAAAAAAGTGTTTGTCTGCTTGAGGAATGCTAGTGATGTAAAAATTGTCAGCAATTTTGGAACATTCACCCTTATAAATCTTTGCAGGAATTGCTTTAAAAAACTTGGAGTCAAGAAAGTGTGCTATTATTTACCTGTTATTCAGAGTATCTGTATTTTTTTTATTAACAATTACATTTCTTTTTGAAGATCACAATTTTTTAACCATTGAAAAACATCTGAAAAGGCCACAAAAGGAAGATGTTGAATATATGCAGGTCTAATTTGAATAAAAACTTCAATTCAGTCAATAATTTTCAAAATCTCCTTATATCAAATTTGTTACTACAAACTTTTTCTGAAGTCCCCACAAGTTTGTTGTAGCAAGATATTACTGTATTTTAAATCAGTGCTGCCCAACTCAGATGTGACCATGGGCCACATTGATACTTTTTCGCCAAGGACCACATTGCAGAGGCATAAGAGTTCTTGCAGGCCACAATAGACAATAATTTTTGAGGTTCCGAATGTTCCCCTTCCAAGTTCTAACGGACAAGTTTTAAATTAAATTTACTGCTGTGCATTGAATCACAAGGATAGCCTTATAGAATTTTCTCAGGGTGGAGCAAAATTCTGAATTTTTAAATTTATATATGTTTTGAATAGCGGCAGCTGTCACCTTGAAAGTTATGGGGAAGGGACCGCGGGATGAATGAAGAG